CAAACAATGCCTCATACCTACGGCAGCAGAAGAAGCAAATAACTCCCCTTAGCGCACCTGCTGCACGGGCCATTCCACCAACAGACCGGCATAAGGGACTCGGACAATATTGTGATAGCTGACCCAAGCAGTTCGTCCTTTTCTTTTCTTTTTCCTCGTCCCCGCTGGGTTAGACTAGAGGCGCGCCCTGAATCACCAAAGTCCCATCTCTGACCTGCGCTGCCGCTAACCAAGGGAAGCAGAGACTAATTCAGCATCAGCGCATCGGTGCTGGATCAGCAATGCAAAGACATCCATTCCCATCCCAATCGTCCATCCATCCACCCATCCATCATGGGCTTCTCTGTGGGTACTGTGTACACAGCTGCTGAGTACTGTCACACTGCGCATCGCCGTCTATTGGCCGGCAATTCACTAGGTAGGTGTCCTCTTGCCAGAGATCCCACGTTCAGACCGGGGGGATTGATCCAGGGCTATGACATACATCTTCAACGGTGTATTCGGGTGCACAGACGACATCAAGCTGCAGGACTTCCACGGACCTCCTGGTGGCCCAGGCTGACATTCTGAGGGGACACTCGCATCCATGCTCCCGCATGCCCCCGCATTGCCCTTGGAGGCTAATAGGCGTCGTCTCTGTTAGCGGCCCTTAGCACTCAGGTCTGGTCTCAGGTATGGATTGGATGTACCTAGCTGATGTGGCTGGCAAACCATTGGCTTGAGCTGCGATAGCATCCTATCCGTATTGGCGGAATAGACACGACGATGCATCATGTGATGGACCTCTCTCGCATCCTACCCGGCATCGGTGTCGTTAACTTGCCGATTTGGTTTTCTTGTACATATTATTACAGCACGGATACAGGCCTATCGTTCTCCGAGAAGCATGCCCCCACGTCAGGGCTGGGTGTTTCGGGTAACGATGCAACTCTGGAGGGTTGAGCTAATTAATTGCCACACCATCGGCCAATCAACATACCTATCGCTTGGGGAGCGAGCGGATTAGGGCCGATGGAAGAAGCTATGCTACGTCTTTACCCTGGCACAACGCGGGTACTCAAGGAAACGTGGTTGAGACGTCTACAAGGTATGTAGCCAACCAACCTACCATCCGGCTCAAGTGTCGTCGGCTCCGGTGCTGCTACGGGGCCCTTCGTTGCTACGTCCTTGCATTGGAAGACACCCAAGACCGGGACAGGGAATGACCTCCCTTCGCGTCCATCACCCAAAACAGTTCCGCGTAGCCTTCCTCTGGGGAAGCGCTTGTAACTGCCGACAAAGGGGCGGTAAATTTGCCGATTGAGGGCTCTCGGGCGTTTCGATATGGGCCCCGTGCTTTCTATGGCAGCCATATCCGTTCCTGCGTCGTCCCTACTACATGAAGGAAAACTCCCGTTCGAAACGCGTCGTGTCCTGTCTGGGACGATTACGGACAGAGGTCCGCGCCAGCAAGTGGGAGACGGTGCTCGTCTGTGCGATGGTGCGAGCAGACTTGATGATTACACCAGCCTGGGACGTGTCTGACCATGGTGGGTATATCGTGTGGTGTTATGCGTTCATACCGGGACAGGTGATCGGAGTCTTTGAGTGGTCTGAGGAAGTCCAAAATACCAACAAACATTGGTGATGTACTTTTGAGTTTCGGGAAGGCTTGGTGCGGACCGCAATTTGTGCCATGGCATCTTCCGCATCCGGAGCCGATTGAGGTGGTCCTCGTGTCTCGGCCGAGAGCCAGATACTGGTGGGGCTGTGGGCGAGCCGTGAATCTCCGTGGCTGGTTGGAACTTGTGATCCCTTCAATGCACGGCCCACACTTGGACTCCTCAACCCTTAACGTCTAGCGCAGCCTAGCGTATCAGCCAGGTCATGGACCAGACAAACGAGAGGGGGTAAAGAACAGATGCTGACCAACAGGGTTCATCGAAGCACATTGGAGGCGTGTGCTTCGTATTTCGAGCGACTGCTAGTGAATGAGTCGTATGATGGTGATCGATGCCACCTGCAATATTCATTAATCATCGCAATTGTGTTGGGCAACACATGAAAGGGCTAATGCAAACTACTCCGTACTAGCAGCTTAGGGGCGCTAGAGAACCAACACTCGGTTATGCCCTTCCACGGAGTCGACCTAATTAGAAGCTGAGCTGACGCTACGTTGGCGTGCAGATGGCGAAGGGTCAATACATGCGAATGAGAGATCGGGTCGGGCTGGGATGATAACTGCAGGCACTGATGACACGCATCTTCTCATCGTCCAAAGGCCCTCCTTCCATGGCTTCTGATCTTGTTGTTCTCCAAGCTAAGCCAGACATTCCCAACCCCCCTGTCAGCATACCCTTGGACACTATCTAGAATTGGGATACATGCTGGTTACCATTCATCTGGAAACCTGCTCGCTTGCTTCTTCCCCTACCAGGACCTGCATATCATAACACTATCCAGCAGCAGACACAGAGCGCACCTTGTTGGAGCTAACCGTACTCAGTTTCATGTGCATATACCCTCCGCACTCTGTTGTGCAAGTAACTAAGAGAAAAAGAAAGTCACTGCAAACCTCGCCTCGGTTTTCCTCGGCCACACCTTGGTCACGTCTAGGCCTCGATTTCGCGATGTGACTGGCTAGGGCATGTCTGGTCATAACCTGATCTCCAGCTAATGCGGTACGCCAACGAAAGCAGCAAAGATAAGTGGGAAAAGCATTGCAGTCACAAGGTTTTAGCATTCCTACCATCACGGATGACAGTGATGATCCTGCATCAGAGCCGCACGTCTGGAACGTCGTGGATTATCCCACCCGTTGCGCATGACGAATATGCGGTGAAGAAAACAGAAGAGGTGAAGAGCAGAAGACGGTGATGAAGTTAGTGCCAAGCGGCATCTAACTAGGGAGAGAAAATCGATCACAAGCGAAAATTGAAGGATGCAAAAACCGGCGACGGTAGGCCAAGAAGACGGGTCTCACCGAAGCCGGTTTGTCCAAGCTGACCGGACCGGACCAATATGGAAAGGGTGCCATTCATGGCACAAGGCACCGCCGGCGGCCAATGGTAAGCGCCCACAGGACTACGGAGGCTTTTGGGCGGATGTTAGTCTTGAACTGGGCAGTCTAAGCCACGTATCTAACCGCCTCTGAAGGGTTCTGAAGCGAAAAGAAAATAGAGTGAGTGGAGGAGTCGGGCTTTGGCTAGCGGCATAGCGGTGTCTAGAAGCGAAATGAGGAGCTGATAGGTTCATTCATCCATACAGATACATGGATGGCAAAGGCACACACATACATGCTTGGGTCTACCTATCCAAATGTGTATAGCTGCACATTTCGATGCACGGGTTTTCATGCACAGCGAAAGCATCTCAATGCTGTCGGCCGTATCGAAGGTTTACGGCAGCATGTACAGCGGCCATCCCCCGTCGCCACTGGCCTTCGGGTCGCAGGAGACTTGGAGCGGGAGACATGAGCTTGGGGTTGCGATCGCGTCAGATCTATGGTGGAGCGACACTAGCTGCTCCATCGACTGGACGGCCGAAGGGCTGCGTAATGAAAGCAGCATGAAATTGAGGCCAGCAACATGTACTCCTGAAGCTACGTTGATGCTACCTGACGGGGGCCTCTACACTACATGCTACCTCCATAGGTACGGAGCATAGCTGTGTGCACCTCCATGCAGCTGGACGTACATATGTGTACATATGTGCTGTGCATGCGGGTGGGTGGGTGAACTAGATCGGATCTTCGGGCTCTAGAGGAAAAAGCAAGGCCCATGACCCAGCCTCTCAAGGCACTGGACCGCCAGGCCGTAAGGGATTGGAGCCTGGGGCGAGAGGGCACTGGCCACTGGTCCATCGCTAGCCCTGTGAGAACCACTCACACTCGTACACCCACAGCCCAACTTGGACGAGCCTAACCATCATCAATACAACCTCAGCAACCACCATCGCTGCGTCCGGCCACCATCAGGAGCTATCTCTCATGCGCGTCTTTATTGCATGGGGGTGACTGGTGGAGCATGGGTGAAATTACCTACCAACCGACACACCTGGACGTGCCCCACCGGAGTCTGGATCACCACTGGCAGCGCTCGAGGTGAGGGGAGGGTCCTGGGTGGGGGTAAATGGTGGTTAGGTGATCGCCACTTGCAGCATCTGACCCTTGTCCCTGTCATGATAGCATCTGCCACACCTCCCGACACCAAGAGTTGAGATGGAGGAGGAAATGTGAGCCCAAGGCCGGGCTCCCATGGCCAGAATCGCATCTTTTTTCTTTCTGGGAGGCACACACCAGTGAGCACCTTGAGGCTGGGCGCGATGCCTCACGGGACCACCATCGGTCGTCTCTAGCCCGCCGTCGGGCAGCCATTGCCAGCGCCGTGCTTTAGCCGTGGCCGGTGTGAGGGCGGTATGTTCACCGCTCTCTCGCGTGTGACGCCATAGGGATCTCCTTGGCCCCATGGACCTTATGGAGACGCCCATCGTCGACTGTTGGCGCTGATGATCAGCCTTGGGAACTCCACTGAGGGAAATGGGGATCCGGCGAATTGTTCCATTCTGGAAGCTCACTCCTTGGCTTGCCGTTGAGACAACAAAGGGTGCACTCGGTTGGTAGATTCCAACGCTATTGATCGGTGTTTGATTTCACACAGGATAGTCATGTAAACACTCAGTTATGTACGATTAGATATTTAGATAATTACACAAGGGTTGAGAAGAGTTTAAATGACCGAGTTTCTGACTATATGGACTTGTAAACCCACAACCATCGAACTCTTTGAATAGGCTCGTGCTACCCCCGCACCATCCCTAACTTCATAAACGTGGTTGAGCCGGACTCGCTCGGCATTTTACTGGCCTGTTGGTGATCACCATTTTAATGTGGAATTTTCCCCGTGAAGGCTACTTGGCCTTTTCTCGTTGAGTCCCGCAAACTCCCGGGTGGAGGTGGTAGTTTCCCCCCTCGTTGTTGATACCCTCACTATGTCACCTTAGAACTGCAGATCACGCGACGACTACGACGAGACCGAAGGAGATGACACTGATGATGTCAAAGCCGTGAGGGAGGTGCTGTTCTGGGGATTGGGTGTAGGGCTCCTCTGGGCCTCCTGCTCCGCTTGCTCTCTGAAGTATTCAGCTCGCTTCTCCCGCTCTGTCTCGTCTTCGGGCTTACCGAGGATCCAGGGAGAGCTGCATGGGATATCTGATGATCTGTCTGGCTCGTCGAAGGGGCTCCAGTTCTTCGTGGGCTGGCTGGGAGGTCTGTTAGCGACGGTGTTGAGATGCCTTCTAAAGCGCTTTCTAAAAGTCGAGGAGGGAGTATCGCTTGTGGTCTGTCTGTCAGGGGTCGGAGATTTTGGACTTTCAATAGAAGTGACTTGGTGTTGAAAGGTTGAAGACAAGTTGGAAATAGTGATTGGGGTGTGTTTTGATCTATGGGTAGCCCCCCTCTGAGCCTTCGAAGGCGCGAGTTGCTGTGAAAAGGCCCGAGTGTCAGAGTTTCCTGCTCGAGCAAGGACTGTAGACGAATTTTGGCTCTTGGTTCTTTCTAAAGAGAAGGTACTTTTGATTTTATCCTGGCTCTTCTTCCTAACAATGCTCAGACTTCGAAGAGGAGGTAGAGTGTGGAACTGGCGCCCTTTGCCTGTGTTGGAAGAAAAGCTTTCAGTTTTTGATTCAGAGTTTGGACTTGAGCCAGGGACTTGTGGTTGTTCGAGCAGAGTAATATGTTCGTTGATTCGAGAGAACTGGCTGACGGGAGACCTTGGAGTAGAGCGGCTCGAAATGTCTAGCTTGTTGTTTCCTGCTCCGGTGAGCGTTCGCTGGCTATCTTGCGAATTACAGATAGCGTCATGTGACTCCTTTCCTTTGATAGGCGCATATTTTTCATCTTGAACTCTTCCAATAAAAACATCCTCAGTACTCTTCGCACGAAGCGAAGCATCAGTTCTCATGTGGCGAAGTACTGTGATACTGGGACTGGGAGTTTCCGGATCATCGTGTTCAAAGGTGTCAATTTCTGCCTCCAACTCTTCTGCCAAGCTATTCTATAGATTGGGACATCTTTCAACATCACTCTCTTTTCTGCGAGTCGAATTCCGGCGAATTTTCAGAGGAGCTGGTTGAAGATCCTCGAGAATTGACCTAACCGAGCTTGATTCCGATAGATGGCGAGAAATATCACCTGAGGCTTGCTCACTGCTGTATTGTACTTCGGGTTCTATCAAGATAACGGCGGAATCCTTAGCCTCTCCTTCCATGTTGTTATCACCCGCTTCGGTTATGGGTTTGGTGTAGTGGTTTTTATCCAAGATACTTTTAGCCTGAAGGCTTGGAGGCATAAGACCGTCTTGTGAACAAGTCGAAGAAACCCCTCGGAGAACTCCATCTGGAATTATTCTTGGTTCATCTACTGATGAGATATGACAAGAAGGCTTGGTCAGTACAAAAGTTCCCACTGAAAGCGATCTTTGCAATTGCGACTGATCCTCGGTTTGGGTGGGAGTGAGGGTTGGTTCCCCTTTACTTAGCGTTTGGTGAGATTGAACCAAATCTTGAATTCCTGTACCGCCCCAAGAGCGACTTCTCTCGACGGCAAACGAATTAAATTCACCAATGACAGTAGAAGTTGCCCCGGACGTTTGATCTGGCAGCCTTTCTATAGCCTTCAAATCCAGCAAGGAGGGAAAGAAAGAGGGCATTGCCCCCAGATTTAATGATATCCGAGGGCAATTCGAGTCTGGAGATATATGACAGGAAGGTTTTTTGTCTACCCTAGCAAACGGGCGGTTGGTGGACTGGGAATCATATAAACCACCCCCGATGCTTCTTTTGATATTCGGTGGCAATTGAGGAATGATCAAAAATTCATCATTGTTCGGAGTCCAAAGCCGTAGTTTGGAGGGCTCAGGAAGCATACAATTCCGTTTCTCCCTTGAAGAAAGAGATTTCTCGATGAAATACATGCGAGCATATTCCATTGGCGAGAGACGCGGTTCGGCAAGTTCATAGTTGAACGTCTTCAAACTTTCGACGTCGGGAACTGAATGAGGACGATGCAAGAAAGATGATTGACGTGTAACTGAGTGACAAACAGATCCAGGTCTTTTCGGAAGCCCTCTCAAACTATTCCATTGTTTTTTCACGGGCTCAGGATCCGATATCCGAAGTTTTGAGACTGGTGGCCGTTTGGACGAAGATGTACCTTTTTGGTGAATCTTTGAAGGCGTCGACTCGGACATCGCCTCATGCATTGCCGATCGGGACCTCATCCTTCGAGCAATCTTGTTAAAAACCTTTGGTAGAACTTCTGGTATGGCGGGTAGAGTGGCCATTGCCTGGGGTTGAACCTTCCTTCCCGGTTCCCTTGCGGGGTTGCCTGTCGAGTTGGCTTTAGTTTCTACGCCTTCTTCATCCTCGGTATCGAATTCATACTAAAATGTTCGAGTTTCGGGTCGCTTAGGGAGTAGTAGTCCCAGATTGGCCATTTCAGAGACCTTGATATTAAGATCTCTGGTAATGGGATGTTGGTCAAACTCGTCTGCGGACATCGGTTCCAGTATCTCCGATGGCGTGCCCTCCCAATCCTCGCTGGCAAAAGCGGCGAGATCTGTTTGAGATGGCAAAATTTCTCGTCCAGATCTGCTTTCTAGAAGATATTTGGAGACTGATGTTGTAGAAGCTATTGTAGTGGGAGATCCACAAGGGCGAGATGGTCCATTTCGGCCATCAGCATTAGCTGTTGTCGTCGGCGTGATCGGGCTGTCTGCCATCTCTGTTATGGATCGTTCGGAAATGGTCAAAGAAGAAATCGAAGAATCTGGCGACTGAATCACGTATATAGGCTTTGGCTGTCTTTCGGCCGCATCGAGAATACCGAGGCAGACTTCTTCGCGTTTCTTGGATTCTTCAATGTAGCGTGCCAAGGCTTCATGAGACTGGGCATAGGATGGGATATCGCACCAGCCAAGGAGTCTGGTCTCGAGCGCCTTCATTTCATTCATAGAGAATGGATTTTCTCCCATCAGGTGCTCATAAATGCTGAATCGTATGCTGTCGCGTAGCCCGGGTGTACATGGTGAAGGATCAAAATCTTCGGTATCTTCAAGAAACACCATCGCAGGAAACAGAGAATTCAACACCGCCATAATTTGAACAGGCCTCGATACATCTGAATTATATGTTTCTAGTTCGTTCAAGAGTATCTATCGAGGACAGTCAGCTCAAGTTCTCAATTAAATCCAGTTGTGGTGACCACTCACGCGAGCTCGAAATCCCATGTGAAATTGACCATAGCGCTTGCTTGCCGCTTGGTGAAGCTCCTCGGCCAACTCAAGAAGGCCCGACTCACAAGTTCCAGATTCAGCTGAAAGCTTCGCGGCTGTAAAAAGAGTGAGGCCATGGATTTCCATTGCGTCAAGATAGCCTAAGCCTTCAAGAGCATGTTCTTGCACCAGCCCCCCATCGTCTGGGCGGCGAAACACATAGTGAGCCGCTTCCTTGAGTTTCTTGCGTCGATTGGAGTCGTAGCGAATACGCAGGGATTTTCGAATATCTAATATCGCGCCCTGAAGCTGCTCGTGAATATTTTGATCGTTGTCGAAACCCCGAAGTCTGCGTTGTACCGTTTGGGCGAATCCAACATCTCGTTGTTTGCAATTCAAATGATCGATTTCGAACAACTTCGTTAGAAAATCGTACCCGGAGCTCATCCACCACTTTTGAAGCTCGATGGGGTAGGGCGGCATCCTTGATCGTATCTAGCACTTTCGCGAAGAGCAGGTAGCGAGGTCTAGACAAAAGGGTTGCTGAAGAGAGAAATGCTTCGGTCGGTGGAGGAGCGAATTCTGGCTAAGAGAGGTTGAGAATGTAGTGATGAAATTTAAGCGATTTTGAGGCGAGCTTCATCCACGGCTCAGATTGACCTGAGAAGTTGCGCCGGACGAGGCAGGCACCAGAACCAAGTTCAACTGTTCATAGGTGAGCTCCCTGGACTGGAACAGAAGCATAGAATCAAGTAATGGTGAGAGGATATCTTGTTGAATTATTTCAGGCATTTCTTTGGCATCTAAAGAGAGATGCAAAGAATATCGGATGTGTACCTACACTGCCCTTCGATGGCATTGAATGGTGTCACGTGGCAGCCGCTGCCTACATGTAGGCAAGTCACTCGGCATCAGACCAAAGTAGACCCTTCCTTTTCTCCCAAGCGCAGTGAGTCGAGGTAGGTCCTAACAGGTACCTTTCCTTAGTACTTTGGTATTTCGCCTAAAGTATCCCAATTCTTCTGGACCAGCCATTGTCGTCGATCGTGTACATGTGCGAGCTCCTCATATGGCTTCATGGGATATTTCTTGGTCTCTCACATCTATTGATCTAAGGTAGTTAACCTCAACCATGCAGCGAGGGTCCGACCAATCACTGGAACATGTTTCACCTCCATATATCTCAGCACCATCGGAGCAATTTAATATTTTTTATGCCGGACGGGCGTATAGTTACCGATTTAACGTCACGGCACCCCATATTCCGATTGGCTGATGCGTTCTCCCGCAAGTTACCCCGGATCTTCATCTTCAATTCCAGTATAATTAAGTTCTCCTGCGCGTAGTTAATATAGTGAACCATAAAAATATACTGTGGATCCGATACAGCGATAGATCTGTAATCATGGCTAAATGCGAAGTTGAGAATATCGAGTATGGGGCTAGTCTTCCCTCATCATAAGGCCACGCAGGCCGTAGGTAACATGTCCAGGGACTGACTACGGATGATACCTATCTCAAGATCATCGCCAGTACCTTATTGGCCGTCACGGGACGGTCGATTTGATCCCGCTTCCTGAGATGGACGACACCAGTCCGCTGAATTGGCCCAAGTCAAAAGTAGGCCTCCTTTTCTTGCCCCCCCCCCTCTTATTTCTCTTGGGTGAAAGCTGAATGAGACTCCTGTAGAAAATGTTGAACCTGCTTCTGGTTGAATTTCATGCTTTTATGACCACATTCACTGCTGCATCCATACAATGCGCTTTTGTTGACATCGCCCAAGATCTACATACCACTGTGCACCAAGCTACCTGCTTGACATCCCTCGTCATCGCCATCCTTGGAGGAGCACCGCTCTTACGGAGGCCTCTATCACACGTCTACGGGAGACGGCCCATCTTCCTACTATCCCTTCTCTTTAGCCTCGTGGGGAATGTTGGCTGCTGCGGGGAAGCTGTTTCCTCCCATGCATCCAACAGGATCCCGGCTACCTTATTCCTATTGGCTCAGAGGAGCTACATCCGGAGATGCCGTGAGAGGCATGCTTCAAACAAATATCAGGATGGGTGTATGAGATAACGATGGAAAGGATGAAAAAACGTTTAAAGGGAGTTTTCTCAAGTCAATTAACCAAATCCAAGAAAGCTACCAATTTAACCCTTTTATTTCTCATCATACAAACCATAAATATCATGTCAATCTTTTTGGTACTCTCAAACGGCCCTGGTCTTTATGGGATAGTGGCTGCCGTCCTCCTTGGAGTGTTGGTCAGTTACATTGTTTACCAACGTTTCTTCCACCCGTTGGCTTCATACCCTGGACCCTTCTTAGCCTCTATCACGGATCTTTGGCAGGTTTTCTAATTCCTTTCACTCGATCAGCCGTATCATCTTACGGAACTGCATGCAAAGTATGGGCAATTCGTTCCTTATGGGCCTGATAAGCTGAGTATCACCGCGGAGGAAGCAGTGCCGCTCATTTATCAAAGAGGAGGCAAGAATATGCCAAAGACCGAATTCTATGACGGTTTGTGGAAATGCCATCTAAGCATTTATACATGCAAATTCGTTTCTGACAGCTCTTCAGCTTATGGGGCAAAGATTCCCAACGTGTTCGGCATGAGAGACGAAAATGTGCGATGGTAAGAACGGAAAACAACATAGCATATGTGACTGACAAATCAGCAGATGCACGCGATTCGCAGACGCCATATGTCGCATAGTTTCTCCATGTCTTACATCAAGGGTATGGAGCAATATCTAGACGAGAACATGGCTATCCTCTGTGACAAGGTCGCTGGATTCGCCAAGACTGGCGAGGCTTTTGACCTCAAGAAAGCGCTTCATTACTATGTCATCGATGTGCTAGGCGATCTTGCTTTCGGCCAGTCATTCGGTATACAGATCACAGACGACGAATCACGGGTGCCGTCTGTTGTCGAGCACAATCTTCTCAGCGCCGTCACAGGGGCCTGGCCAGCCATGACTAGCACCCTGCGCAAATGGCTACCCGTCGTCCCACACCCAGGTCTTAAGGTTCTCTTCGAGGGCCGTGCTGACTGCGCTGCCCTTGCCTCGCAGTGCGTCCAGAGACGGCTGAAGGACCTAGAGGGGGTGGCCGAGGATGCTAAAGACCAGCGGAAGGACATTCTGACCAATCTGATCCTGGCAACTCACCCAGACACGGGCGAGCGGCTGGCACAGCATGATTTGGAGGCAGAAGCATTTGGATTCATGTACGTGTGACTGCCAGTTTCCCTCTCCTTGCATCGCACAAGGCTGACAACATTGCTACTAGTATTGCTGGAACCCACACGACGAGCGCAAGCACGACACTGCTCTTCCACCACCTCTTACATGCCCCAGACATCATGTCCAAATGTGTCGCGGAAATCGACCAGAATCTTGGACCGCTTGCCGGAGATTCCGTTTACTCGGTTACCGAGGCAGAGACATCATTACCTTTCGTCCGCCAATGCGTAAGGGAGTATTTCCGCCTAACACCCGTCTTCACCATGCCGCTGGCTAGACGGGTCATGGCTCCCGAGGGCATTGTCATTGCAGGGCACCATATCAAACAAGGCGTAGGTAGCCTGGAATACACACTGGTCCAGATGACTGTCAGCTAAGATCGCGTACATGTAGACCTCTGTGGCCATCTGCAACCACTCTTTCCACCACAACCCTCTGATCTGGGGAAAAGACCACAACGTCTTTAACCCGGATAGGTGGGAGGTGCCCGAAACAGCACTGCGGGCTCGCTATCTGATGCACTTTGGCTTGGGCGGCCGTCAATGCGCCGGGAAAACGGTGGCCCAGACGAATATATACAAGCTGGTGAGCACGTTGCTCAGCAGGTTTGATTTTCAATTGGCGGATTCTGAGGAGCGAGAGCGGGCAGCTAGGGGAGAATTCGTTGGGAAGCTTCCGGCAATGATCAGTATAGGAATAAGCGATCTGGAGCATCCGCTGATGGTCAAAGCTCGAGTAAGAGGCATGGCTGCAGCATGGACGTCTGGTTGTAACGATATATGTAAGGAGCACCTCCATTTTTAACTAAACACAATAAGAAGAGAATAGTAAGAGAATAACAGACTATTCTATAATATTTAGCTTGATATTGTATTCAGTACTAGGTCACTCATTGTGATATTGTGTTGGATTTCAGGGCTGAACTATCTCGATGTGCCATGTTTTATTTCACCCACTTCGGGGCCTATGTATGTGTACCTGTGTCAGTATTATGCCCACGCGGACCAGAGTTTAGCTGGCCCCTCCCCGCGTTATTGATCGATCTTCCGGTTTGCCGTGATAAGAGGAGGAACCGTGCTATTTAAAAGCACCCCTCCACAGCTGTCCTGGTCCTGTCTTTTCTGCATCCACCTGATACCTGTCGTCCTCTTCCTCTCGTCATGTTCAGCAGTCGACCACTGACAAAGCGACCTCGAGCTGCAATCGCCTGCAACCGATGTAGACAGGCCAAAGCCAAGGTAGCGACCGGCTTTCCGTTCGAATTGTCATCAAGGCTGACCAATTCTCTATAAGTGCGACAGCGAAAGACCTCAATGCGGGCAATCTGCCAAGGAGGAGTCGGAATGCATTTGCTCTAATGATGGCCGAAAAAGGCAAGCTCATCAGAGTCAAGTGAGAGGAGCGCATAATTGTCCCCATTTACAGGACTAATAGTAGCTATAGAGCTGAGTCGGATCTTGGTGTGCGGGTTCTAGACGTCGAGGCAAAGTTGGCATCCGTGTGCGGATCAGTTGAAACAGTGCCGGACACATTCGATTTGGGTTCCGAACCGGTTCCAATCCTATGGGCTAATGACAACGAAAGTTCATCGGTCAAGTCGAGCACTGGGCCATATGTGTCAAGTTTGCCTCATGCTACTCCATCGTACACCGAGTCACTTCCCGATGTTCGAGCTACGGCGCTTTTGGATCACCCATCGACTACCTATATGGGCTACTTTGGTAAGAAAGATGTGCTATTTCAAACTGCGGCCTTTACTTATACCCGACCTTCACGGGTTCGAGCTCGAATCACGCACTTTTCCCGTCAATAACCGCAGAGATTATAAACTGTGGTTACAACCATGCGCAGCATTCCTTCGAGCCTTTCGGTCGATGCCAGGTACCTATCTCAAGGAATCGAATATCTACAGATCTTGCATTCACAGAAACGGGATACCCGGAGCGCCGTGTTGCCCTTGAACTAATCTCCCTTTTCTCAGACTCCATCGGCGCAGTACTCCCCTTCGCTACTGAATCTGCCCTCGTCATAGAGGCATGCAAGATAAGTGCAGACGCAGAGTTGGCATCTGGGGTTCAGGCATTGCTCGATATTGTGTTTGCGCATGCGTTAGTTTCAGCAGACGAAAAAGCAGCAAAGACATTCTACCTCAGGGCTTCTCATATACTTGAGACGCAGTCACAACACTTACCTAGCTTAGAATCCCGTAAGTATCTTCACGATATCCCATATTGATTCAGAAAGCTTACACAGGTTATCCAGTTCGGGCATGCCTGTTGCTAGTCAGCTTCCAGCAAAATACTAGGCGAGCAATATCAAGTTAGTCGCCTCATTGTCTTGCAGTTAAGATGGCTTATGAGTTAGGCGTTCATGCCCCTTTCACCTATAAAGGCTTGAGTAGCCAAGACAAGGATGCTCGTCTTAGCCTTTGGTTGGGAGTGGTTACCCAAGATAGGTAATTAATATCGCATTCATCATATGCATGTCTAGCTTGCTCACCAGGTATCTTTCGTAGAATTTTGAGCTCAGCGCTTGGTAGACCAAGTCTATCACCATCCCATCACGTCAAAATAGATGTGTCGAGATATTTTGATTCTGATCAAAAAAACGAACAACTAATCCATATGTCTCTCAAGGAAAGCTACTTCAGGCATTTGACGTGAGTATTGATAACAAAGACTGACCTATTGGTGTCTTCTTTACTAACAAATTGATAGTAGTAAGTGAGAGAGCTATGCAGCTGCTGAATAAAAAAGGGGGAACTAACAAATTGATAGATGTCATTATGTCACTGGACAGGCGATAGACGATATCTACGACCACAACATGGGAATTTCCGATCAGTTGAGCTTTGATGATTTAGTGGCGAAGACAATAGACCTCTCAAGAAAGTTAGATCAATGGCGTGTCAATTTATCTCCGTTCGAAATCCGCCAGCATGATCTCAATCTTCAATCCCGTTAGCAGGAACGTCGAGAGCAGGAGGGTTCGAAAACCTACTTGCCATTCACTACTATCGAACGGTTTTGCTGGCCAACGGACAGCTGCTTCTACGAATATTGCAAGAGAGGACTTCAATCCGCCTTGAAGATATGGATATTTCCCATCAGATCGCGATAACTTCCCTACAACGTGATTATACGGCAGCAAAGGAGCTGTGTTGGCTGCTTTCAAGTATTTCCACCTCTGATTCTGGATTTTTCGAATCCAATGCTACCTTGTGGGTTTGCAACTATGGAGGTGAGTCTATGGTCCCTTCTACATCCAGTCTTTCATTTCCGGAAGATGCTGACCTCGAGGCGCGCATAAGTGCTCACTCTCTGTCTTCACCTTATGGGAATCTGGATACTTTCGCTTAGCAATCCCGCATACTTCGGGTTACTCACGATAAATCCGCCGGAAGTGCAGACTCTGCTTAAGGAAGCAATTAATACATTGAAAGTGATTGGGGGAGAAATCCTCATGAGTCGCAAGGCCCACCATTGCATACGGCAGTATATTGAGTTCCTGGCCTCTGCCGGTAAGCTTTGTTTACGCCCCAGGTCTTTCCTATCGAGGGTGAAGCTGACATGGGTCACAGAACAAAGGATAGAAACAAATGACCTTGCAGAAGCGGACCAAGCGGTGCTGTGGGTAGCGCAGACTAATATGGCTCTAGACAATGAACCCAACCTAGGGGACTTTTTCCATTCGCTGGACTCGGAGGATGCTCTACTGGGTGGTTTGTTGGGATCAGAAAGGTGGCATAGCGATATACATGATATAGGCCTGTTTTAATAAAGGTGTACTGATGTCTAACCTAGCTCGTCTATCAACTGCTGAAGAGAAAGAAGGAGGAGAAAGAGACACTGTGGCTGATTGTATAGTCCTGGATCCTACAACAAAAGCCCTTGTCCGGGACAATAGCTTAGCGGTTTTCTTAATTTCAACCATTCATTGCGGGCGCGAAAAGCATATTTTAATGTTTATGTTATGGTTAACTGGGGTGCTAATTGGGCTACGAATCTCCTATCGGGGAAACCGTGGCCCGTTAGCTCAGGGGTAGAGCACTATTTTTGCACTGCCCGTTGGCGGCCTCACGGGCTCGACCCAAGGAATTGGTTCGAGAGCTTAATTTGAGGCCGTCCCCAGCCATCTCCCGCCATACCCAGCCTTAAATTGAACGATTGAGATGCGCCCATGGTAATAGATCAGTTCTAGAAGACGATGACGCGTCCCCTTATGCATTCGATGCGCCTGATCGCCCGACCTGGGCTCAATTTGTGCCGGCTTGGCGCCCGCCAAGCAACACCCCGGCCGTGCTGGCAGCTATCGAGATTCTCAACCGCGTCAGCAAGACTAAATGGTACGTGCCGCTCAATTGACGATGACATCGATTATCGCTGCTTGGAACAATGTCGAATTTATCTCAATTCGCGTCATGTGTGAGCAGGTTCATAGGGCTGCCCAATTGCCCGCGCTCTGCTGTATGATGACCAGCTTGAGGATGCCGTGTCCTCAGCTTCACAGGCTATCAATGGCACCGCACGCGCTTGATTTCGCGTAATGACCAATTGAGAGGACACCTTGCTAATTTACAACAGAATACAAGCAGTCACAATCACAATCGGGAGGTGGTGGTGGCTATGGCGAACCCAAGTCTGAGGAACCATCTCTGCCGAGAAAGATGCTGGAGTCGGCAGCAACTACGTTTGCTTCCATTGTAGTTCTCGCTCTCGGGTTTGCAGGCGCTGCCTACATCTATCACAGAAGCTACAAGTGGTTAGTTCTGCGAAAGATGACACGGGCATTCGAGCCTGGCGACCCAGTCTTGGAGATGGCCGCCATTGGCAAAGATGTCCCGCACAAGAAAGGGGGAGAAACAGATTACTGGGTATTGCGACCAGAGCAAGACCGCGTCAACAGAATCGTCAGCGGTGAAGAAAAGGGGCACTACTTTCTGCTCGTGGGGGAGAAGGGCACTGGAAAGAGCAGCATGCTCATTGAGGCAATGCGCCAGATCGATGGCGATGCTGTTTCCATGTTTGAGGCGCACCCGGATACTGAGATCTTCCGACAACGGCTGGGAAAGGCCCTGGATTATGAGTTCCATGAGGATTATATTGGGGGCTATTTCAGCGAGCGGGGGCCTCGTGAATCCACCGCGCTTCTCGACATCGAGCGGGCGCTGAACAAGCTGGAAAAGGTGGCCATGAAGATGAGATCTGACCGTGGCAAACCGCTCATCGTCATTGTGAATCAGATGCACTTGCTCCGAAATGTCGAGGAAGGCCGTGACCTGATTGAGCTTCTCCAGCAACGCGCCGAACAGTGGGCCGCGGCTGATCTCGTTACCATGATTTTCAACTCCGATGATTACTGGGTTTACGAACGTTTGAAGCAGCTGGCAACTCGGATGGAGGTTATCCCGGTACACGATTTACCCAAGAAACAGGCGGTGGAAGCCTTGAAGAACTACCGTCTACGTTACCGTGGAGAGCAACTTTCGGAGAGCATGCTTGAACAGATCTACGGGAAGGTTGGTGGCAGAGTCAGCTTTTTGAATAGGGTGGCCAAAAGTGAAGATATGCTTGCCAAGTGTGAGTCTATCAAAAACACCGAGAAGAGGTGGTTCCTAAACCAATGCTGGATCCTCGGAGCCGAGATGGATGACGACGTGATGGACCAGCAAAAGTGGGCAGTAAGTATCACCTGGCGTCAAGTCCGACTCCCATTGTGACAAAATTTGCTCATTCTCAATTAGGCTGCTGCTATGACCTTGGCCTTAGCCTTGGTAGACAAGGAAAAGGAGATGGACCAGACTTACAGCCCAGAGGAGGGCCATATCCTACCATCCTACCCATTCCATGAAGCGCAGCAAATTATGACCCGATGTGACTTTATTCGCGAGCTGGATAGTCTGAATCTCCTGACAATTACTCATCATGCCGACGTCAGAGCCAGCAGCGTCCCCATGCAGCATGCGTTCAAAGAAATCTGCTCCCAACCGGACTTCCGAGAGTTCTTGGAGGCAACGATGAACAGGATCGCCGACATTGAGAGCTTGGGCCGAACACGAGAACTGGTTGCCAAAGATCTTGTTCTTGGCGGCCAGTATGAGATCGAACACAACCGCAAGTCGGTTACTGTCAAGTTGGTTCAAAAGGAGGAAGAGGAGGACTGAAATCGACAGTCCCCCGACTCTTACGCCCTAATGTTCTACCGACTTCACCACACACTCTTTGATATATTCTCTTATGCCTCTCGACATTTCCCTTCCTTCAGTTGCTTTTTTCTTTTCAATGTGCATCTTTCCCCATATAATTCAGAGCCCTGGCAGACATGTATTTCTACACATACTGTACACACACCCGCACTCACTTTATTTGTTTTTTTTATCTATTTTTTCTTTTTTTTTTCCTGCATATTTCGTCTTTTGTCCTGACTCTTCCCAATTTGAGAACGCGAAAATCCAAACTGGCAATGTATTTATTAGTTCCGACCTGACGCAAAAGCGATAGATTTCCTTGGATCCGTAGCATGAATGCAACAAAGCAGAGTATTATCAAACACATGCAAGTCCTTCTTAATGCACAATCGGTGTCATGTACAAACACTGGTAGTTATTTGTTTGTTTTGGTACTAGTCCTTGACTTGTGCAAGTGCGAATGTCACTTGCTGTTGGTAGCTCGATTAGTGAGATGATGCGGTTGCCTATTTCGGCGGGAGCTGCTGAGGAATCACGTCGGCCTCAGATCCAAGGCATCAACCCCCTTCCACCCTTCAGTCTCAAGGCCAATCGCCCACCCTCGATAATTTTACGAGTGTCACCACCTACCTAACCTAAGGTAATCATCGACGCGCCGCCTTTGATTTTTTAAGCGCCCCACAGCCAGCGCTCCTCGAGATTCCTGTCGCGACAGCGGGATGCCAGCACTGCACTCGACTACCACGAAGACGTGAGAGCCGGTCAATGCCAACAGGTGCAAGCTCTCGGTGGCCCGATTTTCGCTTTGCCTCATCGTTGTGGGCGAGAGAAGGCCCCCAGTCCAAGCAGGATAACGCGAGCGCATCCGCATCCAGCTCCGGACCATCGAACCCAAAACAACCCATCGCCTCTGCCAGGGACCAACACAATCAGACCGACCCTTCGTCAGGAAATACCGACAACCTGGCGCCTACGAACATGGCTGAGCTTGAGGACCCCCAGGCCCCCATTCACGGCCTCGGTGGATATGATAACGCCTCCATCTCTGGTGAGATGGACCAAGACTTTGGTTCGCTTGAGATCTTTGATAGCAACCAGACCGATGCACCTTTTTCGTCGCAGGCAAACAATGTAGCTTTCGAGAATAACACCCAAGTACCCACTGCTGTCATGTCAGCAGAAGCACCATCGTCACCCAGATCGAAGCGGTCCAAACGCGGTACTGATGCCGACGCAAGCTCATCCCGACGAGACCAGACCGATCCTGCAACTGACAGGGCGAGCCCCGGGAGCGACAAAGCATCCTGGCGATCGAAGCGAAAGCTCACAAGCCCAGATGCTCCGAGGGGCAAGCGTCAGAAGAAGAACGGATTGGTCGGGACCAAAGAAGCCGATCAATCTCACTCGACAGACGCGGTCAGCCCCGACGCCGAACAACCCAATCCATCCAAGGCAGCGAAATCGAGTAGCCAGAGCGCAACTGGGAAGCCTGCCAATGAAGGAGATCCCATTGGCGCAGAATACGACATCGAAAATTTGGACGTTGAGAACCTTGCCAAGGAAGCCTGGAATGAGCACATCAACGGCAATGCGCGTCGAGAACTGGTCGCAGCCAGCGAGAAGGCACAGGCAGCAGAGAACGATGTCGAGATGGCGGATGCCGGCGCCAATGGCGCAGAACACAGCGAACCCCAGCCAGAGACGTCCGGGGATCAGCCTCAGGAATCTGACCCGACACCTCGCACGAGGCACTCAACACGGGGCAAGAAAGCGAAGCCGACCTACTTTGAGCAGCCTGTTCAGGATGTCCCTGATGAGGACGAGGATGAAGATGCAGGAGAGCTCCCATCCCCTTCAGCAGTGACGCCAAAGCCACGAAAGAGAGCGAAGGCTGCCGCGAAGAAGGTCAATCGCCCGAAGCCCAAAGCTCCGTCACCTGCGTCAGAGGAGGAGGAGGACGTGTCCGACGATGACGGCCCTCGACGACGAAATAGGATGGCTGGTTTCAAGCAAGGCCGGTTCACAGAGGACGAACTGAGCCGCATCAGTAGAGCTGTAGTAGCTTTCGGAAGGGAGAATGACCTGACTCAACCTCAAGTGAATGAAGTAAGTACAGTTCCAAAGATCACCGGCATAATCATCATGGTTTCTTACGCAATTTAGATGATCCACGCAGCTGGAGGGACCTCCGCCGGCGAAGCTCACGCTCAGCTATGGGCACGTCTATTTGCCGAATGTCCCGACAGGCACCGACAGAAGATAATCAACATCACTCGCAAAAAGTTCCATAATTTCGTGGCTCGTGGAACTTGGACGCCAGACCAGGAAGCCGAGCTGCGAGATCTTATTCAAGTCCATGGCACGAAATGGTCACATATCGCTAGGATCATCAACCGTCATCCAGAGGATATCCGGGATCGGTACCGGAACTACGTTGTGTGTGGAGATGCACAGCGCAAAGACGCCTGGAACGAGGAGGAAGAGGGTCGGCTGGCACAGTATGTCATCGACGCCATGGTGGCCATCGATGACTTGCGGGCGATGCAGCCCACTCGAGAGTTGTTAAGAAAGCCATACGAGGAACTCATTGATTGGCAGAACATTAGCGAGCGCATGGATAGAACGCGTAGTCGACTTCAGTGCATTACCAAGTGGAAATCGATGAACTTGCGAATCCATAGCAAAGATCAGCTTGCGTCGCTACAGCCCGATGCTCGAATCTCGTTCAACCTTGAGAAGGCCAGACGCCAAATCAACGCGATGCCTGAAGAGGAACGTCACCGTCTAGTGCTCGCGATCAAAAATACGGCTGCTGGAACGGAGGCAAAGATCCCATGGCAAAAGCTTGTCGACAAGTCATTCCGAAACGAGTGGCACCGGGCAACACAGGTTCTCCTTTGGCATCGTTTGAAGAAGACGGTTCCGGGCTGGGAAAGCAAGTCGGTTCGGGATGCTGCGCAGCACATACTTGACCAGTTGAACCTCAACGGCGAATTCCCCGACGTCGGAGGGGATGGTTATGATGATGCAGAAGAAATGCGTGTCATCCGATCTTACCCTACACCTTCACAGACTAAGAAAGCAAACCAAGACCAGAAGACGTCACATGTTGTCAGTGAGGAGTTCGTCACCAACTCAGACGATGAAGGGGGGGCCAAGGAACCCGAGGGTCCGCCGGTGGAAGAAGCAGCTGAACTTGGCAACGACGATATCCAGATCGACCCCGCTCTCACTGAGGCCGTTGCTCTGGAGGGAGCACTGGCCGAGCCGCCCGAGCCCAGCAATGTGGATGTGCCGACCGTTGATGTGCCGACCGTTGACGATGAGAATTCTCTTCCCAAACGAACCCCCTCCAAGATGGCGACCTACGGCAAGAAGAAGGGGGCTGCCAAGCGCGGCCTCATGCTTACCCAAGACCCGATTGAGGATGTTGAGGGAGATGCTCTCGATGCAGAGGACCAAACGAATGGGGGGATGAGGCCCAAGAAGACCCCAGTGCCCAGCAAGTTCAAGTCCCCAGGAGCGAAGGCCAACGATGACGGGCAGGTACAAAATACCAGTCTCATGTCTAGTGACTTTGAGGACATGGAAGACCTACCAGCGCGAATCTCGGCCGCCTAGGAGTCGACGCAAGGAGTTGAACCAACCAGTGGGTGGTTTTAATGTGAAGAGAGGTGCGTGGCATTTTGATGCTTGTTCAGGGATTACAACGAGTCATATAAAGAATAAGCGGGTGATTGGGGCGTTTTTGTATTACTATATAACCTGGTCTCATTGGGAAAGAGTCGGGAAAAAATATTTTCCTGTGGGAAAATGAGATGTATGCTACTTGAGCATCTACAAAAGGGGATGGGGCATGGATGAGGAGCTCACTGTCTACTGCATGGTTGCCACGTTACTGTAGCAGGATCGTCAGGGAATGAAGGGGAGGGTATCGAGTAATAATTGCGTTCATCACGTCGAGAAATTGAGATGGTGTTTATTGAAACTTGAATGAATTTAGGGTTTTATGAGTGAAAGCTACGAGAAACGACAGCGAGGTCGAGGCCGAGGGGACCGCCCTTTGCCCTCCCTTGCTTGACTGCGCGGCACAATATGCAGTGATTGTTTGTCCGATGAAGACATACGCAGCATCCAATCGTATACGCAGAGCTACCGGCGTAAGCAGGCGAACGGCTAACGGGCAATGATCTCGCTGATAGCAACGGCCCTCCTACTCAACGGGAGGGCCGTTTGGCTGGAGCAGTTGTGTTCTGATTAAGCTCGAGAAGTCGCCACAATTTACCCTTCTCTACGCAAACCTTACATGAAACAGACTACTAAGCCCAAGAAAGGGTCGAGCTTCTGATAAGGTTGGACAGGGATCCCCCGATGCCTTGGCGGGTGAAGCGTCCGGGCAAACCAAGCCAATTGGGCAAGTGAAAATTGCGATCGCTGGGGCAAGGCATCATCTCATCATCCATCGCCGCTTGACATGATTGCGAGGAGCGTTTGCGTGATTGTTGCCTGTCGGCCATGGCGTTTCCCCCCTTGGACGGTTGTATATGTCTTCTTTCAATGGAGGAACATTGGCCGCCTCATTCCAGGACTGCATTCAACAATACAGTATCTCTCCCTCAACCCTACATGTATCTGATGCCTACAGGCCTAATGATTAGCCTGTGGAATTGCCACTGGTTACGGCAGTTCAGATATTGGCCCACGCTTGGCATTTCCTCCAGCCATCCCCATCCAGCCCCAGCTTTTCCTGGCCAATCCAAGCCGCGACGGAACTTCTGAAACATGGCGATAGTGTCTCGCTGCCCATCCCTTCCCTCCTCCGCTGCGAATGCAATTGTCCCTTCCCGGGAAGAGCGTGCTTCCGCTGCTGCAGGAACCTTTGGAACCTTTGGAACCTTTGGAGGCAAGGGTGTCCGCCCTTCTTAGCTCCCAGGCCAGTCGCTGGAACAGGAAGCTACATTCTATCTTCGAGGTCAACGGGGATCATCAGCGCCATCTTAGCGCGAAGCAAAAGTGCTTGCGGCCTCCGTCTGTCTTAGAACCAGGCGTTTACGCCGTGACCTGGCCTTGGCCCCGACGCTGTGGCACCATCCGTCGGCTCGTCTGATACGACTGTCTCTGCTATCAGTCAGCCGTTTGTGCTCTGCGCTGCCTGCTGGAGCGGGTTGCCACCCAGCTCCCCTCCACTTGGCTGCATCACCGTGCTGCTTGGCGTTGATGACGACGGGAATGCTGCTGATGATGGAGGCTCCATTCCGTGAATACCTGCCCTCCTCGGCTCTCACCTCCTCCCGAGGCCTGATCAAGGGGCCTCTGTAGATCTCCCCCTGGCGAGGAAGATGCATAAATAATACTCTATCCGCCCGCCCTCCTTGTTTGTTTCCTCTTCCCAACCATTGGAAGGACTGGGCTGCATTCCATTTCCAGGGTTGCATTATCCATCTATCCTCTCTATAATTTAAGCTTATTCCTCCTCCCCGACTCCTCACCCACTACCTTCTACGCTCTTTCTTAGTCCAGTGATTCATCCCAAGTCTCTTCCAGATGAAGACTGCCAATTCCCTAGCGGCGTCTACCGCCCTCGTGCTGGTAGCGCTCTCCAGCCCTGCCACTGCTGAGTTGGTTGATTCCGAGTCGCTCCAGGCCCTCATCAACATCGAGGATCTCCTGGCCGGCTCCCAGAAGCTGCAGGACTTCGCCGATGCCAACGGCGGTAACCGTGTCTTTGGTAGCCTCGGCCACAATGCCACCGTAGACTGGCTCTACGACACCCTCAACTCCCTCGACTACTATGATGTCGTCAAGCAGCCCTTCACCGAGCTCTACTCCGAAGGCACCGCCACCCTCAAGGTGGACGGCCAAGACGTTGAGGCTCGCATCCTGACCTACACGCCGAGCGGCGAGTATACCGGCGCCCTGGTTGCCGTGGAAGGTCTTGGCTGCACCGCCGAGGCGTTCCCTGCCGAGGTGGCCGGCAAGGTCGCCCTGCTGTCCAGAGGCTCGTGCTCCTTTGGCGAGAAGTCCGTTGCCGCCAAGGCTGCCGGTGCTGCTGGTCTCGTCATCTACAACAACGTGCCCGGCAGCCTGGCCGGTACCCTCGGTTCTCCCTTCCTCGACTATGCCCCTGTTGTGAGCATCAGCCAGGAGGACTCGGTCCCCATCCTCGAGGCTCTCGGGGCCGGCGAGGTCACTGTTGACTTCAAGGTCGACGCTGTCGTGGAGAACCGCGTCAACTACAACGTCATTGCTGAGACTAAGGGTGGTGACCATGACAATGTCCTGATCCTCGGTGGACACTCCGACTCTGTCGCAGCTGGTCCCGGTATCAAGTAAGTCACATCCATTAATCTTACATGTGTGAGTAAAGTGCTAATGTAATATTGTAGCGACGATGGCTCTGGAACCGTTGGCGTCTTGAAGGTCGCCGAGGCCCTCACCAAGTTCGAGGTCAACAACGCTGTCCGTTTCGCTTTCTGGGGCGCTGAGGAGTTCGGAAAGCTTGGATCATACTACTACGTCAAGCAGCTCAACTCGTCTGATGAGGAGGTTGCCAAGATCAGGGCTTACCTCAACTTCGATATGGTACGTGCTTTTTCTCCTCTGCTCACCAATGATCCAATGCTAACAAATCATGCAGATTGCGAGCCCCAACTACATCTACGGTATCTACGACGGTGATGGCAGCGCCTTCAACCTGACTGGCCCTGCTGGCTCTGATGCTATCGAGAAGGAGTTTGAGGACTTCTACCGCGCCAACGGCGTCAAGTCCGTGCCCTCCGAGTTCAGCGGTCGCTCCGACTACGCCGCCTTCATCGAGAACGGCATCCCCTCCGGCGGTCTCTTCACCGGTGCCGAGGGTCTCAAGACGCCCGAGGAGGCGGTCCTCTTCGGCGGCGAGGCCGGCGTCTCCTACGATGTCAACTACCACAAGATCGGCGACGACATCAACAACCTGAACCACGAGGCCTACCTGCTCAACACCAAGAGCATCGCCAACTCGGTGGCCAAGTACGCCCTCAGCTTCGACTCGCTCACGCCCGTCGACCTGACCAAGCGCAGGTGGGCTGCCGACCGAGCTCTGTTTCACAAGAGATCCGGCTTCCACAGTGCCCAGCATGGACATGTTGGTCCTTGCGGCGGCGGTGGTGTTACCCAGTAAAAGAGATGAGATGATGAGAAGATGTATTATGTCTGTAGAAAAGAATAGCGAGAGGGCTATCAGGTCCATCAAAAGTAATAGAAGAAATGTTATGAACCAATCAACTGTGTCTTATCTTGTGATGCTGTGATTTATGTAGACTATTTCTTCATAAAAAACAAAACACAAAGACTTGAATAATTAGCGAGACATGCCGATCAAGTATAAGTGCCTGTAGATGGTTTGCTTCATTTCTGTAGATGTACGATGGGTGTAGTGGCATAGGGTAGCATATATCCAAAGACGGCGGTGTGTTGCAGTCGCCAACCGCCTCCCTGGAATACAACAAGCACCATTTCGTCTGTATGAAAACACAATTCAATGAATCATTAATTTTATTTGATATTTGCTGATTCCAGACAAAGACCGTTCCCCTCCCTCCATGATGGAGAAGACCGATCCAGGTCGCAAGATGAAGGTCCTCCTCCACTCCCACTTCCCAGCCGGCCACTGCTACCCGATGCAGGCCGCCGCCCAGGCCCTCGTCTCACGCGGCCACCAGGTCGTCTGGCTCACCAGCGGCGACAACGAGGCCCGCGTCCGCCTCACGGGCGCGGAGTTCGTCCCTACCACTGCCATTGCCGCCGTCGACGCCCCCCTCATGCGGCGGCACGAGACGGGTCTGCTCGACGGCGACTGGGGCAGGCACCGGGGCAGGCTTCTGGCGCAGGTGAACGAGTACCGATCCGTGCTGGACGACTTCGAGGCCGACGTGCTGCTCGTCGACGTGCTCCCCCACGGGGCGAGGGCGCTGTTCGAGCTCGGCGAGATCCCCGTGTATGCGACCTTGGGCGTGATCCCCATGTACTCATCGGCGTGGAACGCACCGCATGCCGTGTCTGGGAGGCAACCTCCCACTACCTGGTTCGGGGTGCTGGTGAACTGGCTGCGTCATGTGTACATCCGGTGGATCGTCCTTCCATGGTCTCTCCGTCCAGTGTTAAATTATCAGCGATCCGTCTTGGGGCTGGGGCGTCTCCCGTACGGACAGCCGCTGGAGGCGTTTACATACAGCCGCTTCCTGCACATCCAGGCATCTTCGCCAACTCTGGAGTTTGGGATGAAACCCGCATATATTGAAAAAGTATCGTACGTCGGCCCTCTGGTAGCGCAGCTCAAATCCCCTTCGACGCAGAACCTGCCGGACTGGTGGGAGCGGGCGGTTGCGCACCCCCGTGTTATCGGGATCACGCAGGGGACGCTGGCCATGGACCCGACGTCCCTCATCGTCCCGTCCATCGAGGCCCTCAGCCCAGACCCCGATAACCTCCTGGTGGTCGTGTCGCCGCACTCGGCCGAGCTGGAGAGACGCTTCGGGCAGGGGAGGCACGGGAACATCCTCTACGCGGACTGGCTGCCGTATCATCTCCTGCTGCCCCTGCTGCGCCTCCTGATCACTAATGGCGGGTACGGGAGCATCACGCAGGCGCTCTCCCACAAGGTGCCCCTGTTGTGTGCCGGGCAGACCGAGGACAAGAAAGACACGGCGGCGAGGGTGTCATGGGCCGGAGCGGGGATTGACCTTAAGACGGACAATCCCTCGGCTGAGCAGGTGCGGACCGCGGCAGATCGGATTCTGGATGACAGTGGGAGTTACTTGGAGAATGCTACTCGGCTGGGCGTAGAGTTGAACGCACTGGGTGGTGGAGAGACGGTGTGCGATGCGTTGGAGGACCTTGTACGACGGACGAGGCTTACGAAGAAGCCGTTACAGGATATCGGTAGGTGGTGATATGGGGTTCAAGGATGAAAAAGAGACATGGGAGTTTCTTGCGGTTTCGGCCAGTTGATTCCATTGGGATTAACATTTTAAGTATCAGTAGAACATGGCGGGGCTTTTGAACTCCAGATACGGAATCTTGAAATTTATTCACTGTGACAACAGTTTTGTTTTGTCACATTCATATTGAAATTGCTTTATAATGTTCGGTTTTAGTTACTGGTTTTGTGCTCCTTTAACGACTCAGAAGTGTCCTGCCCAGCGGCTTCCCGCTCTGAACCATCCTCGTTGAAAAGCGTCTCTTGAGCTACTCTAGTCGTTAGTATATTGGGTAATGACATTTAAGGGGAAAAGACAAAACTTACCGCTCCAAAGTTCGGAATATACGCCATCGTGGTCGATCAGCTCACGGTGAGTGCCCGTCTCAGCCACCTTCCCATCCTTGAGGACGATGATCAGGTCCGAGTCGAAGATTGTCCTCAACCTGTGCGCCACAAAGAGGCTCGTCCGACTCTTCTCGCGCAAGATGCCGTTGATGTTGTTCATGAGCGCCTGCTCGGTGTGCGTGTCGAGCGCGCTCGTGGCCTCGTCGAAGAATAGCAGGGGAGGGTCCTTGAGAAGCAGTCTGCTCACGGCCAGCCGCTGCTTCTCCCCGCCGGAGATCATCATGCCGCGCTCGCCGACCTTGGTGCCGTATCCGTCGGGGAACTTCTCGATGGTGTTGTGGATGTGGGCTCGCTGGGCGGCGGCTTTGACCTCGTCGAGCGAGGCGTTGATCTGGCCGTAGCGGATGTTGTGCTCGACCGTGTCGTTGAAGAGAGGCGTGTCCTGAGGCACGACACCGATGGACCTTCGGAGCGAGTCGACCTGGACATCTCGGATGTCCTGATCATCGATCAGGATCCGGCCGCCCTGCACGTCGTAAGACCGGAATAGGAGGCGCAGCAACGTTGATTTCCCACAACCACTGGGGCCCACGATGGCGACCTTCTTACCGGCCGGGATAGTGAGTGTGAGATCTCTCAGGATCTGGCGATCAGGATGGTAGGCAAACTTGACGTTTTCAAACTTGATCTCGCCGCCCTTGCTGAGCACGAGAGGCTTTGCATCTGGCTTGTCCTTGATGGTGACGTTGACCTTTTGCAAGTTGAAAAGAGTCTCCATATCTAGCAGACTCTGGCGCAGCTCGCGATAGACGGATCCGAGGAAATTGAGGGGCACGGAGAGCTGGAACACCAGCTGGTTCACCATCACCAGGTCGCCGACAGTCAAGGAACCCGAGGCCACACCGGTCGCCGCCAGATACATCATTCCCGTCAGAGCCGATGAGAAGATGATATTCTGGCCGCTGTTCAGGAACGCGAGAGAGGTGGCAACCTTGATCGAGTTCTGCTGGTACTGCTTCAGGGCGTTGTCGTATCGCATGACCTCAAACTTCTCGTTGTTGAAGTACTTGACGGCCTCGTAGTTGATGAGCGAGTCCACGGCCAGCGTCGACCCCTTGTTATCAGCAGCGTTGGCCTGGCGCCGGAACTTGGTCCTCCACGCCGTCGTCCAGATGGTGAATGCCGAGTAGCCCGCCATCGTCAGGACCGTGATGGCCGCAAACTTGAAGCCGTACTGCCAGGTCAGGATACCGCACACCATGCTGATCTCCAGAGCCGTGGGCAGGAGGTGGAACACCATGCTCGTCAGCAGGAAGCTGATGCCCTTCGTACCGCGGTCTAGCGCCCTTGTCAACCCTCCCGTCTGCTTGGTGAGGTGGAAGTTGAGGTCCAGGCGCAGCAGGTGCTCAAACACGTTGCGCGCGACGCCGCGGATGGCCTTCTGCGCGACGCTCGCGAAGACGGCATTGCGCAGCTCCTGGAAGACGGTCGCGCCGATCCTGGAGGCGCCGTAGGCGAGGATCATGCTCCCCGCCACGGCGCTCACGGTGCCCCCCATGGCCGCCACATCGATGTTCATCGAGTCCACGATGCTCTTGAAGTAGAAGGGCACCTGCACGTTGAGCAGCTTCCCGCCGACGAGCAGGGTCACGGCGAGGCCGACGCGGAACTTGGTGCCCAGGTCGTCCTTGGGCCACAGGTACCGGGTCATCTCCTTCATGATGGCCCAGTCGGCCTTGCGCTGCTCCGCCGTCGACTTGTCGGGCAGCGCGAGGGGGTCATTCTTGACGGTCGCGGGCTTCGGCGCTTGCTGGCTCGCAGCAGCGATTTTTGCATCGGGAGAGGGTTTCGTGGGCGTGGCCGGCGTCGGCGTCGGGGTGGAGGTAGAGGCCTGCTCACGGCGAGCGGCAGAGGTCTGGAGGGGTTGGCCGTAGCCCAGGACTGGCCGCTGCGGATGCCATGACGGGCGCGTCTGGGTCTTTGCAAAGGTGTATACGGGGTGTTTGCAGGCCGACCGGTAGGCCAGCCGTGGAATCATGGTAAGTTATTATGCCAGGGCGAGAGGGCCGGCTCGTCTCAATTCGTGCAAGGGGTTTGGGGGGGGCTGCTGGCGGCGGCTTCAGTGACGACACCTACAACCCGCCACAACCAAACATAGGCTGCAGGTATTACAGTCGCTGCTCGTTCAGCGCGCTCGAAAATCGCGGGTGACAGGCGTAGAATTAACAGCGCTTCAGCATTGGTACGGCGGTCCGTCTCATCGCCCTGCTGCCAGAGCTCTCCTGAGGTAATTTCTTGTGCGCCGCGGATATTGGGCCAAGCTAGAACTTAAATAGCTACAGCTTCCGAGTGTCGTGTGCTGCTGTGCTCGGAGCCAAAACGACTTTGAACCGCACAATGATGCAATCGGCTTATGGCCTTAGGCCCCATCTGTAGTAATGGGCCCCTGTGATGCACCCTTTTGGCTTCAATGTTCTTAACAGCAGCTAGGTAAGTCGTTTTGACCTCTTTAATATTTCTATCTCGCCTTTTTACATTTTGTCATGTCAGAATGAGGTAACTTCTTTGTTACAAGTATTCCGGTGCCGAGCACTCTACGTACATAGCCCAGGTATATGTCATGCCTTAGTCAATATCTATAGAGCTTCATTCTGAGCTCTATTTCTCCCGTCGCAGCTTTCGTCTCCGGACCCATACCTTGCACTTGGATGCTGGCATTTTCGTTGGGCCCCGATTCGCCGTCTTCACCGTTTTCCAGGGACCCTCCTCGCCCACGGGGTGAAAGTCGTACATGCTGATAATCGCCGATGTGAACATGAGCAGCTCTCGCACCGTGAAAGGCCCGCCCTCGCTTAAAACTAGTTGTCCCTCTGTCGATAAAGTAAACAACGATAATTAGCCTTCTATTCTTCGTTTACGTGATGCGGTGGGCTAGGAACTCGAGTAGTGAACTTACCGTGGGGTCTGATGCTTCCCATATCAACCGACACGCTCTTGGCGCCCTTGGGGTCGACACTTTCCTTCAAATGCCTCTTGGCCTGCCACTCCTTGGGGCTCTCAAAGTACTTGGGGTCCTTGTGGTGGGTATCATGAGGAACATGAGCATACGTGCCCTTGAGAAGCATGCAGCTGTCGCCTGAATCCTTCTCCTTGAGCACCAGGTCCTGTTCCATGTATTTGACTGACATTGCACACGAGTATACTCTCATCGTCTCAACGTAGGCCGCATTCAAGAGCGGGCAGTTCTGCACCAGAGCTTCGACGTCGAGAGTTTTGATTTCCGGGGCAAGCCATACCCCCGGGCCGAATTCGTTTCTGGGATGACACGCATCGACATGAGGTGCAATCTCCTCATGGATCTGCGCCAGTAGGATGGGATCCTGACTGATCTCATATATCATCCAGAAGACTAGAGTGCTGGTTCTGGCATTCAGGGCCCAAAGCAGAGCCAGGTCGCAGGATGCACGAGCCTCGATGGGCACATTGTGTTTGCGGAACACCATGGCGCGCTGCTTGATCAGGGTGCCGACATTGCTGATGTCCGACCACTCCACACTTGGTTGGCGGCCTTCGAAGTAATTTTCCAATTCACGGTGGAACTCCCTCAAATACCTCAAGAGCCTCCTTCTGGCAAGCATCGCCCTGTAAAGTGTAGAATCGGGATACCACCAGGACAATTTCATGGCCAGCTTGGGGACACCTCTATCATACTCCCAGAGAAGAGTTGCGAAATCCGGAAAATTATCGACGAAATCAGAGCCGAACAGCCCCGAGTTGGCTGTTTGGGCCACGAAGTTCCTGACGAGCTCCAGCAGGTCGAGGTCGGCATAGATCTTGCCCGATGGGCTATCCTCCACCACATCGGACGCAGCCAACCGCTCCCAGTCAGACTGATCGGCTGGGAAGGGATTGAAAGTCACCAACTCGCCGATCCTGTTCCTAAGATTGATAGAGGTGATTTTGGTGGCTTCACTTAGGCTGGAATCCGAAAGAATGTACTTGAACTGGGCATTGAGCTCAGGCAGCACCTTGCGGTAGATCTCTGTGTGACGGGTCTTGAGGCCAAAGTTGGACCGCATGAGGCTCTCTTGAGCCCATTCATCGCTGGCTACCGACTGCGGTTGGCTCATCAGCGTCGCCACCCATGACGGGCGGTAGATGACTGTATGGGTCTGCCAGAGGACGGAGAGAGAGAAGGCGCCCTTCGGATACTTGTTGCGAACCGAAGCGAGGAAGCCGTTCACCCTCAAAGCCAGCTGGGGAACGTGGCCCAGAAACGGTACCCAGTACCCTTGTCTTGGGGGTCTACGGGCGTCATCTGGGCCGGATTCCGACTTCCCGCTCAGCAACCTAGTCGTTACAAGCATCACCAAGACAGTGATGAGAATAGTTGCCGCCCTCGGCTCCTGCACCTTGGCGATGAGTGCCTCAGCGACCTCGCTCAGCTGTTGGGACACTTGGTGGCTGCCCATGGTGCCGAGCCTCCGTCTATCGTGAAATCGCGATGCCGTCAACTGAAGGGAATTTTACCAGAAACCCCTGATCAAAACAATTCAGCAGAAAACAAGATGCGAGATAAATGAGGGACAGGGCTTGTAAAGATTGATAGGAAGAAATTGGGTTCAAACTGGATGTCAAGATACAGTGTCCAAACACATGTGGCGGTGCTGGATTATTTTTAGGGGGCTTCCTGCACTGTCGGCCTGCGCCACAATCAGGTTGAAAATGGGTGCAATCTGTCAACAACATATATTATTTCTCGGGTTTGAGCCTTGAAAATTGTATCTGGATTGGCGATGCGCTCCCCATAGATATTTGCGATTGAGTACCCTTGTGCTGGTTTTCTTTGTTTCCCTACCATAAAAGGCGAATTGAGACATGGCAAAGCTGCCATTTTTCGGGGGTATCAATTCTCGATGTTGCTATCTTTCCGGCATCTAGTTCTAGAGTGTATCTCGCTCTGCAGCTTCATTGTTCAGCCTCAGGACCTCTGCCCGCGCACCCACCCAGGGCTTTCTCTTTCCTTCATCAAAGATCCTCCAGCAAGCGCTGGTCAGCAGACCGTCCATAAGTACCCTCCAAAACTTCCTCTCCGTCCACCAGAAGACCCATCCCTTCCATCCCCATCCAAGCCGATCCAGTACTCCTGTCCCAGCAGTCTTGTCTGCCCACCTCGTCCACTCCATTTGGGGCACTGATGCTGGAACGGGGCTTCCTCGTAGTGCTAACTTGGACACCCTCTTGTTCTGATTGTCCACCCACTTTTGCCTCTCAGCCGGTGGTGGGAGTTTCGATTTGCCCGCCCATACCTGGGCGATGCTCATACTCGCAAGGTCAGCCAAGAGGAAGGCCCCAGTGGGATACCAGACGCAGCCCATGAACGCAAGTGTGTCGGGGGTCTTGAGCGAGAAAACATTTTGATATAGCTGAGGCAATGGGCGACCCCGGGAGCCTGGCGCCTCGAGCCAACTCGGAATCTTCACCGTGCATGGGTCGTACTCGGTCTCCAGGATGCTCAAATCGTTCTGGTATCCAGTACAGCAGATGATTGTGTCCGCTTGGATCTTTTCTCCATCTTTGAGTTCAACCTCCGTGGGGCCTGTGAAAGCACTAAATCCCGAGACTGACTTTACGGCGCCGGAACGCAGGTTGTCGATCAAAGTATCTGACACCACTGGAACGGTGACCTTGGGAGAAGGGATTGGCTCCAAGTTCCACGATGGATCTAGCTCCCCAAAACTCTTTTTCATGACATCTGCTGCTCCGCTGGTTACCATCTTGTCCATCCAGTTTGGAAATAACCATTCCACGAAAGCTTGCGCTTTTAATTTCCTTAGCGAGAGTAGGCGGGAATTGGGTTTCCCATCAACAAAACGAGGTAGCTACTCAAGGTCAGCTTATTCTTGACTGTTCAGTCAGTTATCGATTGTTGGACCTACAATCAAAGCCCCACGTTCATGGGAGAGATAGATATCAGAGGCAATCCCCGAGAGTGATTCTGCGATATCTCCAACCGTGTTTCCCAAGCCTACAAGCAAAACTCGTTTCCCCCTAAAGTCTTCCGCTCTAAAATCCAGAAAAGAAAAGAACCTCAGTGTTAATCAAGTTTGGGCTTGGTGAAAGCAGAGTAGAGAGATCCAGGTGCCATACCTTTTGAAAGCTTGCGCATGGACTATTTCACCTTGGAATAGTTCCGACCCCTCCAACTCCGGCATCAGCGGCTTGGCATGAGGGCCCGTCGAGATGACGAGTCTGTCGAAGTATTTTGAAGGGCCTGTTTCGAAATCTATCCTCCACTTATTTGAGTCCTTTTCTCTTGCTGCCTGTTTGATCCTCGCATTAAGCCGAAAGCGAGCGCGAAGACCATAGTGGTCTACGTAGTCTTCCAGATAATCCTGCATGACCTTTGCGGAAGTGAATGAGGGGGTGCCTGGACCCTTCAGTTAATTGCGAGTAAGACAACCAAAAGTGCATGAAACAACCCACCCTCAGGAAACGGAAAATCCGTGAAGCATCCCTGAAAGGAAGATTTGTTAGATTGCTGCTAGTGACATGGAAACAAGCTCGAGCCCTGCTCGTACTTACTCGATCGGTAGTGACGTTGATTTCTGTGTCTGTCGCCCAACACTAGTTAGCATATGGTGGAACCATCCGACTCTGCTCCTTTGGTAACTAATCTGTCAGCCTACCTTCCAACGCACTCAAGGTGTCTTTGTCCTCGGTAAAGTGCCAAACACCGCCGATGTAATTTTGACGCTCAAAACCAGTAACATCGAAACCCTCCTCGAGGAGATTTTTAACCGCAACTATGCCCATGGCACCTGGGGTGATAAAGCAACCAGGTTAGTATACTGCCAACAGGGATCGTGCAAGCAAGCCATATATGTGCAATTTGATGGACATACCAAGGCCTACGACAGCTACGGTCTGTTGATGCGGCGCCGTCGTCGCCGCCATGGTCGCAATATGCTGCTGGTGATATTATGAGGAATAAGCAACGATGATGCAGTGCATGGTGATGGAGTATGGAAGGTTGACGAAAGACTGGAATGAGGAAGGGAGGTCAAGGTGAGCTTTTACGACGCCGCGCCGGTCAGACCTTCTATGTAGGTAAGTACAGAGGAAGCAACCTGCCTTGAAGGGCCGAATTAATCAAATCAAACCAATCCAATACGCATCACGATACCATTGGACTTGCAGCGCCATGAGCGTGCGGGTCACGGCCAGCAGGGGGTTCGGGGGATTCCTGCTGGCCTATTGTGGCCTCGGCCGTCAATAGGCCTGAGCCCGCTAAGCTCCAGTGCTAATTAGGCACTCGAGTCTACATTAGGGGTTTGGGATTAGGTGCACCCCACCCCTGTATGACCCGGTGGCCCAATAAAGGTCGCTGTTATACAGCACGATTACCTGTAGAGAGCCGCTAGTTGCAGGAACTTCCGCTGTCGCCAAGCCCTCGATCTTCTTGTCCGTCGTGACATGAAGGCTCACTCCGCGCTGTATGTTGCCTATTCCTGGCTTGCCATTGGCACAAAAACAAAACACCTACGCGTACTGCCTAGGTATATTGAAGTATTGACATGGGTAGTTGTTCGGACGGTTGCCCTAGGTGCAACCCTATTTCACCTGCTCACTTCTCACCTGCGCCTGCATACCTTAGCCTAAGTTCCTCACTCAGTTGTATCTGCACGTTGTCTTAGGCTACATAAGGCTATTTCTACCTCATGCACCTGCCTCTGCTTTGATGTTGGTTGACATTTCAGCTTACACGACAGGTCATCTTGCTGCCTTTCTACTTGGCGCCGTGTGAGATTAAGCGAACGCCACAGAGCATCAGGCGCTTATGGCATATTATCAGTTTCCGATATCCATATCAGCACTATCAACCCTGTCCTCGAGTCTGAATCCATCGTATTCGACTCGAAGACTCGAAAACCCCATGTCCAGGGTTAGCTGCACCTCGCCATGCATGCATGCCATTTGTTTTCCGCATGGCTCCAATGTGGGACCTCCGAAACCCTTGCAGGGCGTGACCTGGGATCGCGGCGAGAACTCAGAATGGAATCCTGAGCGGAGGAGGAATGTGCTGCTTACGGGGCAATTGGATAATGCCAGCTGCTAGCTCAGCATAGCACACAATGTGGCGTCCATCCTGCCTGCCCAAGCCATGAATCAGAACACGCAGCCATGTGTGAAAAGACTCTGTTTCAGAGTGCGGTGGACAAGACTCTGCCCAGACATTCCGCGCTCAGCAAATAGTCAGCTGTTTTGCCAGTGATGATGGGCAGCGGTGACGAAAATGGAAACGTCAACAACCATCTGCAGAGATACTTGGCATCCTTTCGACCAAATTTCTAGAAACCCATAAATACTATTTAACGAGTTGCCTAATGTGGGTTGTTGTTGGGTTCACTGGAGGCATTCCCAGCTGGTGCGGGCGGTTTATTTCCGCCAGTACAGATATCCCATGGATCTCAGCTGGAGCCTCCCCAGAGCCTAGGTCAAAACCTGTCATAGTGCCTGCTGTAGGGCAGCCAAAAGTACCAACTAACTCGTAAGCAAGGTCGAGGCCGGCGGCTTATGTTTACATAGGGTTAAGGTATTCAGCACCAAGGAATGCAATGGCGCCTGGATTCACCAACCGCCATGTGCCATCATCAGTACATACGCGACCTGGCCCCCTCCTTCAGCTGTTTCCCATCAATGGCTGGCCACGTTTCTCATTGTGTCATCTACCGATTCAATGCCACGAAAATCAATCCTCGAATCACCCTAGTAAGGCCATCACATGATACCGTTGAGAGGGCGTTTCACTGCCGTATCATCTGCAGGGTCTTGCAGCCGTTGGTTCTTAAAAAAGGCCGGACAATGTCGTGTGATCCAAACACTCTGCAGTAGCACGAAACTCAGGTTGTCCCCCTCCCTTCGCTTGGATGTTCGGAACGGAAAGAGATGATTTCGTCGCCCAACACATCCGGACAAACCGAACATTCAAGGTCTGTGCTTAGTACCGAAGGACTCCCTCCCGTTATCAGATGCCTGAATAGTCACTTGGCGACGGGCGCAGCCGATCTCATTTCAACGGTTTGTTCAATGCCACTAAATCCCGGTGAAGAGTCTGTCATTATCGGGCCTAGAAGATTTACTGTTGGTGTGCTGACCCTCCCACAAGCCAACCAAATGGTGGCTTTCGCTTAAAAGTACTTACAGAAGGCAAAAATCTGTAGATTCTAGCAAGGCTTCACAGGTTCAAATCCATTGGCCAAGGCGTCGGGACTATTAAACCTAAGTATTGACTTCCCCTTATTGATGACACATACTTGTCAAATTGAATCCGCAATATCTCGATTTATGATTTACAAAGGTTCATTCATGCATAGTAGATCATCTGACGTACTAATCGCGGCTCAGAAGTCTCAACGTCCGATTCTCCCCTGCTAACCACCACGAGCCCCGATGCGCCACGAGCTTTGCGATCTGTGCCAACACTGTGCGCAAATTTAGATTTCGCCTGTACTGTTCGGCCTTTTATAGTAAATGAGATTTCCTGGTATGGTCACAGCGAGGGCAAGGAATGCAAGACTCATGCTGGCATAATCGAGATGCCGTGACTCCAGTGGGATGTTGTTTTATATATATAGATATATAACCTTCTTAGGGCCGTAAACGTTGGGATCCTCGCCGGTTTTCCGTAGAGTGACTCCAGGCATAAGCAAGTGAATGGCCTGGGTCACGTCACCGAAGATACTGTCACAGAACTTCCAGTTCCATGTAGGTGACAGCACACAAAGTCAACGATGCAGATTTACCAGAGCCACAGACCAAACTGCAAAGGCTTAGCAGCGCTCAGATTGCGATGATGCTCCTAAAATCAGGGGCCAAAACTTCAGAATCTACCCAATGTTGATTAAGAGCATGGCGACTCTAAAGATGTTCGGCAAGCATACCAAACGTATAATACACCCGAGACGAACCTACTGTAGGATAGACTTCCTGCCAAACTTCACTCTAAGGATCCCAAAGTCACACCCAGAGCGAAGAAAATGAGGTATAATGCCTTTTCCGGCACGGCGGATCTTGAACCAGATTCCTCGCTAAAATGCCACATCTGCCTTTGGGATAATCATTTGGATATCAAAGAACACTTTGATTAACTTAACTATTTTTTTTTATCAATGTAGGGGGGTTCCAAAAGCGTAAAAAGGCAACGAACATCGTAATGTCTGGAGAAGGGAGATGCTTTAAATGGGCAAAAAGAAATGTACTCCGGTACTGGGAATCGAACCCAGGGCTGCTCGGTGAGAGCGAGCGATGTTAGCCACTACACCATACCGGATAAGTTATTGTTGGATTACGGCGACCCCATAGTAGAATAACAATCTTTGACCAGCAAACATGTCAAGCAGTGCGTGATACGACAGCTTACCATTCCTTGGAAATTAGATTTTCTGGTTGTTTATCCGAGGATATACTTCTGTCTCAGTTATTAGCTGAAAATCTAGGAGATGAAAGTGTCTTTATAAAAGACTGATCACTGTGTCAGCGGTGCAATCCAACCCGGTTTGGACCAGATTTTGAGTGGGCTGGGCTGGTTATACAAGCGAGGAGCCGGTGCAATTGGAGAAGCGCAAAGTGACCATGTCCTTAGCAAAATTCATCACGCGTTAGATTTCGTTTCATCCAAAAAAGAAATCCAGCAAAGTGTACAGTTTTTTTGATGCTGGTAAAGATACGGCTATAGCTAACGCGAAGACAACTTGAAGGTTAGGAGAAAAAGCTACGGAGTGACAGTGATAGCAATAGGTTGCCAGAAACCTTTGCGACATCCAAAGAACGTACTGGGATAATTACTCAATAGGGCTTGAAGATTCCTTCATTGGCCCGAGCCTCATTCAAAGCTCTGGCGTAGCTCTTACAATCGAGTGAATGCGTTTGAATATGGGAAGTGGCTCGCATTTAAGCGTCGAGATGAGGCGATTGAGACTTCTTTCTTATATTGTTTTCCGTTTTTTTCGTTCTTCATTGGCCATAACGTATTGATATAATTCAGGGGCCAAGTAAGGAGACAATTATTACAACCTGATATACCGTAATTCAACCCAGCCAAGGCTCATTACCTATTCCTCTAATGCTATTCCTTCGATTACAAGTCGTGACCAACTCAAATCTGCAATGGCTTAAGTCGCAACAAGACAGAGACCTTGTGCAACCAGTCAGTCTTATGGTAGGTCAAGAATTAGGGCTTCGATTAGATGTAAAATGTAGAAATTCCAAAACTCTCCAGCATTAACACAGAATCATCGCGTAGTACTTTCTAATTTCAATATCTTCGCAATTCAAAGCAACAAGGACCTTGGTGTGAATTTGGCCCTCAGTACACCTGGCAGACTGAGTAGTGTGCCAAATCTTTCCGATCAAGGTCTTGGACTCTCATCAATTGTAAAGTTGTTCCTGCCTTCGTTGTTTCAGTATAGCCCATATATGACGAAATAGACACAGGCCGTGAAAACAGAGAGATTCATGAAGATGACGGAGAGTGTCTGGACCCCCATACCAGTTGGTATCGACTTGCTCAAAGGATAGGAACAACTATATCCGCCGATTTTACCATATAAGCAATTGCTTATCACCGAGACAAGCTGTACTTGTTCCAATCTGCGAATGCTAAGCACTAGTGTCCTTGAAGGGCATGTTGTCGCCTCTTCTTTAGGTTTGAATGTCATCGTCGAAGCCAAGAGAGTGATTCCAGTCTTTAGGCTATCTACGAAATTCCCACTTACACGTTTGTTGACAGAGGTAGAGAAGTGGTGGAACTGATAGACCTCCAAGTTTCCAAAACCGAAAGAGTTTTTTACTTCATATCTATGACTGCTTAATCGGATTCGAAATCTTACATTCCAATCCCAGTTGACATTCCGCCAGCTCAAAGTGCGAAAAGGAACAGGCGACCAGTTCTCCCTTCCATGCCTCTATAACTTAGCTCAAGTGATTTTGAAAGTAATTCCAAATAAATATCATCGAATTATACTAACAAAAATGCTCGGCCTTCTACTGATGGAAACATTTTTGAAAGCGCCGTAAGGTTGCTAGATGGAGAGGAGGAACCGGCCCTAATCAAAATGGTGTGCTGAAGTCATGCTAAAAGGCCGAGTGTCACATATTCTGCCATGGCCAGTGTGCCCTCTAGATTTCAGTTTACAAGTATTGATTGGTTGCCTTTCCCTGTTTTTCTGGTGGCGCATCCTGTGATTTGGGATTCGACGACGCACTGGAATGCTTTCTCATGTGGTGCATCTCAGTTCTGCGTCACTTGATTTGTATGGCTTTCATCGTCTGGCCTCTCACGTGGGAGAAAGCCCCCTTTTGACCAGGAACAGCACCGAAAGCATGGAAGCGGCTTGAAGAGGAATGGGGTTGACATCATATTGTCTTGCTACCGCCCCTACATGTTCAACGTGGCTGTGGGTGCCACCGCTAGCTCAGAGCAATTTTAGGAAATAATCAGGTACAGTCTCAAGCCCTATGTCTCATAAACAAGAATTATGAGTTAGATGATATTTGATTAGTGATGCAGAACTGGCCCTGTTTGGAAATATAAGGCCAGCAGTTATTACCGTTGTATGCAACAGAGTCCCAAGAAAACTCACAACCAACCTGATTGTAACTAATCTAATAGCAAATTGTATCTCGCCCACACTATGTTCATCTCTAGCGTCTTGGTGCATAGTCTCCTCCTCTCAGGGGCTGGGTATTTTGCTTGGGCAAACCCAATCACTCGTGAAAATGGTGGACAGGTCGGCACTTCAATAGGCCACGATGTGAACACTTCCGAATTCCCAGACACTGTCCCTGAGGCTGCGATTCAGGTTGCCACAAAGAACGCCGTTGCCAAGCCATCTGCAGCCAGCCTAACCAGTGATGAGACAGAGGCGCTGCGCTTGCACAACGCAGCCCGAGCAGGGAAGGGGTTACCACCGTTGAAATGGGATGCCAAACTGGCCGCGAGCGCCTCTGCTTGGGCCCAGTCGCTCAAGAACTCAAATTCTTTCCAGCACTCTTCAGCTGCCTCGCGACCTAACCAAGGCGAAAATCTAGCACAGAACTCGTAAGAGATCTATTCTCCTCGTTTGAAAGGCAAGGAACGTCCATGTTGACAACTGCGCAGGAGCCCAAAAACTCCGATCAACAACCCTCTTACTCTTGGTACTCAGCAATGGTAAGCCTCCGCAAGCCCAAAGACCAAGCTACAAGAAAAAAAGGAAAAGAAAAAAAGCTGAGGCAGAATTAGGTTGAGTGAGGCGAAGTATTACTCCGGCCAGGCTATTTCTGGGACCGACTTCTCCAGATACGGCCATTACAGTAAGAATTTCTGATATTTTCTAGGCCCCTTCCCCCTTGAATTGAGAGCTGATGTTGGAATTTCTCCTAGCTCAAATCATGTGGAAGACTACTACCAGTGTAGGAATCGCGAGCGCAACCAACGGGAAGGGCACATACTGGACTGTTGCTAGATACTCACCTCCTGGAAACATTGTGGGCCAAAAGCCATACTAAAGCCCTACTCATGTATCCATCATGTTACTCTCATGTTTGCGATATCTGAACGCAAAGGGATAAGTAACACGAAGAGAATGGTCACGTTTAAAAGGGTGGTGCTTTGCGAAAACTGAAACGGATAAAATCCATTCTAGGTAGTCTCTAAGAAGTAATCCTCTAAATTCAAACTGCAGTTTACTTAAGCCATTGTTGAAAGTATTAGCATGCATACGCTTTTCTTAGCTAGATCCTCCTCCCTTGTAAATACAACCCCCCGGATAAGTTTATGTGAATTGAGATTAGTACCGTGAGGCTTCATCAATCACTTGATTAGGCGCACTCGACCTTGGCTTTGAGCTCAGGCTTATTCAGGTAGTCATCCTCATAGGGCTTCTTTCCCATTCGAGACCAGCAAACAGCCGCCATGAGCTCTTCATCCTTCTCGACGCTTTCGAAGAGAAGCTCGGCCTTTCCATCGCCGAAATGCGTCACGGAGCGATCCTATGGTTACACAAGATTAGCCTTGGTGAAAGTAGGGTGAAGGTCGAAAACCCAGGGGCTACACTTACGAGACCAAGCGTGAGTTTAATCAGGCCATCCGCCCAGAAGTTCTCATACTTTTCAGTCGGCTTCTTCCCCTGAACAAGCTTCAGGATGTTGGCGGCCACCACCCAGGCCTGCCGAGAAGCGGAGCGGGCATTGGGATTTGGTGTCTTCGTGTCGGCGACTTCGCCGCAGACGTAGATATTAGGGTAAGTGTCATCAGCAATCTGAAGCGTTCGCTTGATCTTGATGTGTCCCGTTTCGGAAATGCAAGACGGGGAAAGCTGGGCGATTAGTTCAGAGTGAGGCTTTTGGCCGGTACAATTGATCTTTTAATCACCTGTTAGCAAGTTTCCAACCTTCATTTTCGTACCAAACGGGTGATTCTCTCGAATCAAAGAACGCACCAGTAAATCGCACTCAAGGACTTTGCCCGACTGAAGTGTCACTGTGGCTGCTTCAGCATCGTGGCTAACCAGACGGTCCTCGAGAATAACGTCGCCCCCAAGCTTCTGCATTCCCTCCAGAGCTGCCTTCTGGAGCCCGGGACCGAACCGGTGCATCAAGGCGCTCCTGGAGTGAACAAGCGTCACAGACTTGTTGGGATATACGGACTTGGCGTCTGTCGCAACCTCGACACCCGCAGCGCCACCGCCAACCACCACCAACTTATTAGCCTTCTCGATGTTTTGCTGCATTTCTTGTACCCTCTTGACACCTTCAGCCTTCTCGGTCTCATGGACACGGGAAGGAAGACCGTCCTTAACGCCAGATCCAGTGGCGACAATCAAATACTCATAAGGGATCTGCTCGTCGCTGTTCTTCAGCTGAACGCTGTCTTTGGTGATAGCAACAACCTTGTCCTGGATCCACCTCACGGCGCCCTCAGGCACACCCTCAATGTTGCCTCCGTAGGGGATGAAGGCCTTGTGCGCATGGCCCTTGGCCACGCAGAACCGGGGCAGGACCCAGGTGAAGACGAAATGGCTGCTCGGCTCAATTACAATGACTCGGAACGGGCTGTTCGGGGGGAGGCTGTTGGCGATCAGGCGAACAGCATAGTGGCCAGCAAACGAAGCGCCAATAATGACAATATTGCGCGTTCGCTCCTCAGGGACGGCGGGCCCGAACCAGGCGGCCTTCTTCCTGACGATGGCAGTGTTGAGCAAGAATTTAACCTCGTTCCAAATGAGGAGGACGGTGTATGCCGCCACTCGGGCGTAGAGGCCTGGTTTCTCCAACATCGTGCCTGAAGCCACGGACAGTCTAATGGGGATCCAACAATCAAGCACAGAGGGGAGGGATCAATATTGAGCGAAGAGCGGCTGTAGATAAAAATTACTCACACGTGAGAATGGAGTTTTTTGCATGCATTGGCGCAGACTGCAGAGGCCTGCAATGAATGGCCCTGAGGCTTCGCTTCAACACCGCATCTCCTCCGAGGACGGCAGCCGAACCCTGCGCGATCCGTTTCCATTACCTTAAGAATACCCCGGGCCGAGCTATCCGAGCCACCGCAAATGAAATAGCCAAATCGAAGACAGCCTGGACACAGGATCAGACTCAGGCCCAGCGGGGGCAGCCCTCCTCCTGAGCGGCTGAGCTGGACCCCTGGTTGCTGCTGGTGCTAGATGCCCGATCAGGAACACGAACAGCGCTGATAGGCATAGGCGCAGTGGAGATTGGTGGGTCGCAGTGGACTTTTGGCTTCTTGGTATTTTATCTGATGATCTGATAACGCACCCATGGCACCTTCCTCGGTCTGAATCCAAACGTGCCAAGAGCTCTCCAGGCCAGTCATCTTGCGCCCTCAACGCCACCGAGTAGTGCCAGGTCCACAACGCACATTGGAAGGCACGAAGAGAGAGAGAGAGAGAAAAAAAACTCATTCATTCAGTTGCATTATTTGGTAATTACTCTAGTTCCCTTTTAGATCGCCTCTCTTCTCGCCCAGGAACACATCTCCTCCCCCCCTCTTCATTTCCTGGTCAGCTCAGGGTATCCCTTCTCGCGCCACTCAGCAAAGGTCAGCCCGCAGGACGAGGGCATCTTCACCATCAGAGGGACCACAATATCCGTCTCTGTGCCCAGGGTCTCCTTCTTGTGGACAATCTTCTCCTCCAGCGTCTCGAAGCCCATCTTGCGGTACAGAGCCGCAGTTGTGGGGGAGGCCTCACCATAGACAGGGAGCATGGCGTTCTCACCCAGCTCGATGCCCCAGTTCACAAGCAGCGCACCCGCCTTTCGGCCTTGATATGCCGGATCCACAGCAATCACATGCACATCTAGACCATCAGAAAATAGTTAGCCACCAGTCTGGTTTTCGGCTATGCATGTATACATTGCATGGTGGCAGGGGGGGGAAGGGTGTAATAAAAACGGCAGTAGTTAGTGGGGACCCGGAGATGGGGGGCTGCCGAGAGGGGAGGGCTCTTTGCAACGGGATGAAGTGGGATGGAGGGGGTTCCAACTGGGTTATACGCACAGATGTAACGGCGTCCGCCAAACAGCTTCTCGCGGACTTCCCAGAGAGGGTTGAGAATGGTCTCGGCGCGCTCCCGTTGCTCGCCCTGAAGCCACTCGACACCAGGATTCTTGCGTTCCTCCTCGGAGCGCTCCTTCATGTAGACATCGCCAAGGGCCATGCCAACAATGTCTCCGGTGGCAATGTCAACGGCCTTGTATGTGTACTGATTGCTGCTGTGATGCCAATATTGCGCAGTGGCAACGGTGTGTGCCTTGCGGAATTCCTCGTTCACGCCAGTTGGGAAGAGGATATCGAGCATCAGGGAGCCCATTCGGTCGGTCTGGAAGGCCTTGAAGTAGACGTCGTAGACGGCCTCGATGTCCGGAATAAGCGCGGGGAGGATAGCTGCCATCTTGACGTTGGTTTAGAGGATGGAGAAGCTCTGGGCTCTGAGTTTGCTACTTGATGTAGATGAAAAGTTGGAAGAGATGAGACTGATTTAGGATGCCGCTACCTTGGACCATCGGGGGCAAGAGGGTCTTCTTATACATGAAGAAGAAGCTGACCTCGTATAAGCAGATGCCCAGCCCAATTGAGGAAAAAGTCCAGTTGTGGCCAGACTCTGTTTGAGCTGGATCGAGACCTCGACACCATAGCGGCCGCACTAGCCGAGAGGCTATCCATACATCCATGAGCCATTGCTGGAAAGAGTCACGTTTCAATATCGAGCTGCGTACGGGAAGGCACGGCCGTTGTGTGGCTGGTACTTTTAACCTCTCCCCAAGAGGCCTTCCTCATAGACCCAGGGAGCGGCGACCTGCCTAATGCAACCTGCAGCCAAGAAATCAGCGTTCCGCGGGCCAGACCAACCAGGGAATCAAGATCCTTGGTAACATGGGATCTAACCTACATGAAAATTCGCTCGTCAAGCACGCCTCTTTGGTTCAGGCTTGGCTAGTTGGAATATCTTTTCAGCTACGACGCGCGAGAGAGGGTCCGTAGGGCAGCGGCGCGAGGACATGGGCAGGGGGACGGCCCTCTCGTCAGGTCCCATCCATGCCAGCGGTGCCGTTGCCGTTAGTTTTTTCTTATCTGATCCGAGGAGGTAAGTTAGTAGCTCCACCGGCGACATCCCGCCAAGACGAGAACACTTCTCGCTATGCAGCTGATTTTTAAACTCGCAGGCCAAACGAGGCCGCCGATGTCGCATTTGGGAGATCCCGCTGGCACATGGGGAAGAACGATGGGCAGATTCAGGCGTGTATTGATGAACGAAGTGGGCTCAGGTGGGCTTCAGCTGGATCCCCAAAACCACATGGAAGTAGAGATCACTAGTCACCACGAGGAAGAGCCATCGATGATCCACGAGCTAGAGAGGGAAGAATCGGGGTCGACTCAGACTAGCCCGCGGGCGGAAGCTTTGGGCCGTTGGCGAAGATGGTCTGGACGTTTCTGTTGAATACGAATGTACGTTTCCTGTTTCCTAGCGTACGCATTGGAAAGACCCGGAACTCGCTTGCATTTGCGATTCGCCCTCAAATAAACAACTGGTCCATCCCCATTGCCTGCCCCAGCATGAGAATGAGGCAGCATACCTAAAAGAGTAAATGAGAGAGGAAAGCCTCGGCAAACCCAGCAAGGAGGTGGTTGAGTGAGGTAAGCTTGGATTTGTGGGTCGCGCCTCAGTGCTACAGCCACAGTACAACAGCCACAAAATCGCCGTCCGTCAGTGGGGGAGCAAGCCGGAGGAAGGGTGACATAAATAACATGAGACATCACGACACAGCGCCTCTCCCATATCAGCTGTTAGCTTGGTATTCTTTGACTGGTAGCACTGGCCCTAGGCATCAAATAATACATAGTCATTTTCCTGCGTATTTCCCTTATTATTTTGCCGTTGGCTAAATACTATGTCCAAATTTGCATTGTTAGTCTTGGTGTCTGTCTTATATTTTAAAGTCACCCTCGAGTGATTTCATACCACGGTCGTGGTAAAGATGGAGCACAATGGAGTCCGCATGATCTCATTATCGCCGTTTCGGTCTCAAATATGCTCACGCGACAACCTCAAACACTCGTACACTTGATCATCTTGTTGTCGCCTAAGATGTGACCAAAGAACTCGACCTTAATTTTACACATTGACCCTCAATCATGTTCGTGAAGAAATCCCCCGCCTCCGCTGTCTTGAGCTCGTCATCCCTCCCCTCCGCCCTCGTGCCACCTCCTCCCCGACGATGCTACTCTCAATCACAACCATGCCGAGCCGGTACCTCTCCGAGATGCACCTCTCCGCTCCTCCTCTGTCCCCAGGCCCGAGTGTACTCGACATCCGATCGCTCCGGCAGCAAACACTCGACTCCTGCCTGGCCGACCAAAGCCAACCCGTCGCCCTATGACGTCTTGGGACTCCAGCCCAAGGAGCCCTACAACAAGGCACGCTACTACCAGCTCGTCAAGATCTACCATCCAGATATCCAAGCTTCAAAATCGCCCATACCTTCAGCCACCCGCCTCGAGCGCTACCGTCTGATCGTCGCGGCGAACAACCTCCTCAGCAACCCAGACAAGCGGCACACCTACGATACCCACGGCATCGGCTGGCACCTCAACGACGGATCCCACGCCGAGGTACGTCAGGCCGACCGTAATTGGCGCCACCAGCCCGGAAGCCCCGCGATGAACGCGACATGGGAGGACTGGGAGCGGTGGCGTCAGGACCGGGAAACCCGCGGCAAGAAGCAAGAGCCGTTGTACATGTCGAATGCGGTCTTCGCATCGCTCATCGGGGCGGCAGGTATCATCGGGGCATTGCTAATGGAGCAGGCCTCGGAGGGCGCAGGAGCACACTTGGTCGAGATGCAAGGGGTGCGGAACCATGCGGTTGGACAGCAGATGAGAAGCAACGCGATGGCGTCGGCGGGGCTGTCGAAGGACGAGAGGGTTTATCGCTTCCTAAGGGATCGCGAGAATGTCGAATATTCATTCTCACCAGGAAAATACGAGAATGGCCACGATGACGATAATGAGAACAGGTGACCGGTTCACTTGCTATACATGCATATAATTCGACTCCACCCAGCCGCCACGCTGTCCTGTGGCAGGCATATAAATAAAGATAACTAACGTACATTGCTGCATGTGTGATCTATTATGTATTGTCGTAATCGTAATCATCAATCATCATCATCCCAATTACTGCTTCCCTTCCCCTTCTCCCGTTTCTCCTCTTTTTCCCTCTCTTTTCCGTTGTTTTATCCCCTCTTCTTCATCTCCAGTTGTCGGCGTGTCTCCTTCAAATCGAATAACTCGCTCTCGAGGGATTTGTGTTGCCATAGAATCTTCCTTGGTACTTTGTTCCGGCTTCGACTCCTCCTGTTCCGGTTCTCCTCGCAACGGTGGAAGAGACGAGGCGTACTGCGACCTCTGCTCGCCATCACTTCTTTCATCATCGGTGAAATTGTCATCCATGGAGATTCGCAGGTTGATGATGTTGTCTATCCTCAGTCGAGGAGGACCGGAGTTCAGGCTTATGCCGTTGCGTTGAGGGCCAGCTAGGGAGAAGCTTTCGTGTCAGCGTTGAACATGCAATCAGCCAAAGGGGAATCAAATAACTCACAAAGTATCAGATCAAAGAGTTTTACAATAACAGGGCCCCAGACAGTCATAGCAATGATCTGCCCATATGACCAGCGGGTCGCCACGAAGCTCTCATCGTTAATCACCCTCGTGAGAGAGATCATGTACAAGACGTTGATAATGAGATACACAACCTCCAAAGTCCGCCAAAACCAGAGTGTGAACTTTTGCCAGGGCTTCTTGAGCTTTCCGGACGGCCCTCTACCCGCACGATATCTACCAATTTGAATATGCTTGGTTCGGCGGTGCTTCCGCAAGGTCCACATCAGCTGGTCCAGAATGAGGACAATCATGGCGATCGAGTCAAGGACAAGGAAGACCATCTTGTAGACCAAGGGATGAGGGAAGAAACTAAGCTGAAGCCCATCAATGGTGCCTATGGCAGCGCAATAGGACCGTGGGCTCGGGTTGCCTCCGCAAGACTCAATGTTGCTCTGACTCTTGAACAGCTCGAAGGCGGCACGGAAACGAACCTTTTGTGTAGCAGCGACAATAGCAAGGACGTACTCGGCGCAAAACCCAAGAAAGGTATGCCAGTTGCGGATCCCTTCGTTGTGAAGACATATTTGGATGAGAAACATCGGCAGCATGCCGTTGAGCGAAATGTGGTAAGCAACAGCAGCATTGAGGATGATCTCGCCCCAGAACGTGCCCTCTTGGGAGTTGACCACAATCTGGAGAATGGATGCGATCTGAACGGCGAACACAAACCAACACTGCGCTTCCTGGAATTCGACCAGAGTAGAAGCAATAGCCACGCTGGTCCGTGACATGGCAGAATTGTCAGGCCAGATCATTGTCTTGATACGGGTCAGAGTGAAGGGCTTCCGCTTGCGCGGTTTCTCGGAAAACTGTATGTAAAAGGTGAACAGTTTGACAGCAAGATAGAGGGCAATTGAGAAAGAAGCCTGAAGAAGATATGAAATGAGAACCTAGAGAGGGAGGAGTGTAAGCGACAAAGTTAATTCTTGAGAGAAATGGCACCGCGAGTCCCCTCAGGGCCTCTCGTCAACTTACGCCAGGCCCGAAGATATCAGGGTTTATCTCAGCTTCAATAGATGGGCAGAAATTTGCCATGGCAGCAAATATCTCTGGGGAGCTCGACTTGTCCTTGGAGAGGCTTCTGATTGCCCTGTCACAGGGCACAGACAGTCCGTCTCTGTCGCACGACTCTTGGGCACAGCCAATGAACAAATCGAGAACCGAGCGATCATCAAACGTAGCGAGGCTTCCCGCACCCATGATCGCGCTTGCATTGCTCTCTGCCTCGTCGTTGATGTAGTAGAAGCTAGTGTTTCTTGCCCAATACGAAATAGAAGCGAGCGCAGCACAGTTGTAAAAGGTCTCGAGCGACCCAAAGAAATGGGTTGTGTCATTACATGCGATTGGGCAGTTCCGGACCCCGTCATCTAATTCGCAACCTGCACTGAACAGCATGATATCCTGGCTACCGTCGATACCATCCTCTATAAGGTCCCGGAGAGAAAAGAGGTCATTGGACGCGGAGCCGTCGCTAGACCCCGTGTTGAGCTGCGCTAGATCATCGAACGGGAAGAAGTCAGCGGCACCCCGGATCCCATCGTATAGAATCACAGTGAGAGGAGCTGGCGAGTGCGATGTGACTGCCGCCATCGCTGTCGTGACAGCAACGGCGGTGATGGTGGTGGGTGACACATCTTGCACTGAGACAAGGCTCGTCATGGCGGAATCAAATCAGCCGCCGCTCATCAATTCAACAGGACTCTGAGCTCCAAGCCGTGGTGTATGGCCCGACACGAGGCTTGTTTGATGGAAGATACGCTTCTTTTATCCTAGCCCAGGTCATGTTCAATCCCGCCGAACAAGGTTGATTTCAGGGCACGGGCAATGGCCTGGGCTGACGCTTGTCTTTGTGCACTTTGATCCAGCTTACCACCTGGACGGTGAGGCGCAAACAAAAGGAGGGTCGGTCTCGGTGAGAAATTTATGTGATCGACCATGCTAATCTGATAGAAGGATCCAATCGAGCCTTGTTATTGTCATAGCCGCTATAATGGCCTATTTCCACGGCCAGTGGGGTCTTGGCTCTTCCGTCGCTTCCAAGCACTCCCATCTGACATCCTCCCACAACCCGCGGCATTTCATGAAGGTACCAAATGGAACAATGGCTTGGCTTGGCTAATAAGCAGCCTGTGGAACCTTTGTTGTGGTAGCAGCCCTTCAAATAAGCTTCCAGAGTTCAGGCTAGACGACGCGCGACACAGCACAATGCAACGCCCCAGAGATGACATCAATCAAACCGGCGAATTTGTCGGCTTGTGGGGACTAGGATTTCCCCACTGCTTCATCCAACCTAGAGCCAACAACAGCATTGCCTGAAGCCATAGATGACAGGCCACAGGGCTGCTTTAGAAACTACGTAGTTATCAATGGCCGCCCAGACACATTGGCATTTTCGAGGCAGGAAAAAAGACGAAAATCATTCGATCGCCTACGGATGGTTACAAGCAAGGTAGACAATAGCATCGCAGCTATGTTTTTCAAGATCATCCCTGGCAACATGCCCTGTACCAAACACGCTTACTGAGCTACTCTATATTGGGGTGCCCATGAAATCATGTTTATTTGTTGATTATAAGTAAAAAATATTTTGAATATTTACATAGACCTTCCTTCTTTCCATCATACTTTATTTATCTTCTCATTCATTGGGAGAGCAAAGGTACCTACAGTCAGAGAGGGTTGGTATAGGGTAGGCTAATTCTCAGCCAACAAAACATGTACCTAAGCCAAAAGCTATCCTGGTTTAGCATTTGCATCTCTACGCCAAACGAAGTAGGCATCAGCGTTCACTTTATACCAATTGGCCTGCTATACTTCTTAGCTTTAATTTGTATTCTGCTTCCATTCGTACAATGGCGTCCGACGACGAGCGCGATAGCCATCGGCGCAGACACAAGGACGATCGTGAAGATGATCACGAGAGGTCATCTCGCAGAGACAGGCGAAAGGATTCAGACCGCCACAGCCACCGCCGGAGATTAAGAGACACCCGCGACAGAGACGAAGGTCGGGATAGGGAACGAACCCGTGACCGTCGACGCTCCCGCACACCAGAGGATTCTAGCAGACGTAGACGAAGCCGCGACAGAAAACGAGATCGAAGCCGAGACCGCGACGGAGACGGAGATCGCCGTCGCAGGCGGAATCGCGAAGACAGAAGCCCCAAGCGCCGACACCGTGGAGACGACGACCGGGAAGACAGTGATCGCAAACGCAAGCATGAGGGAAGAGCAAGCCCGCTCAGGAGAGACGGACCTCTTCCTTCCCAAGGCGATGCCTGGGCGGTCACAAAGGGCGAAGAGCCGGAGAAGCCAAAGGAGAAGCCAAACTTTGGAAACTCAGGTGCATTAGCTGCAGCCTCCAATTCGGTCACGCAAGCCGACGGGTCGAGCATCGCCCTCAAATACCACGAGCCAGGAGAGGCACGCAAACCTTCGCCGAAAGACCAGTGGAAACTGTTTGTTTTCAAGGGCGACGAGGTTCTGGATACGATAGACCTCGGCTTACGAAGCTGCTGGCTGGTTGGCAGAGACGTGGCCGTGGTAGACCTGCCTGCAGAGCATCCCAGCATCAGCAAGCAGCACGCAGTCATCCAGTTCAGGTACACAGAGAAGAGGAACGAGTTTGGAGACAAGGTCGGCAAAGTCAAGCCGTACATCATTGACCTGGAGAGCGCCAATGGGACGATACTGAATGAGGAAAAGATACCGGACAGCAGATATCTGGAACTCCGCCCCAAGGACATGATTCAATTTGGAGACAGCACTCGCGAGTATGTGATAATGCTGGCGCCAAGGGACTGAGACTGTGGGTTGACTGAACTGGTACACGAGCGCTTTCCAACGGCATAGTGGAGGAGGACGAGGATTTTCTTACGGGTTACAAGTCACATGCAAATACTGGCGCAGTAGCAACCGGAGATATCTTGACAGGTTTCTGAGCGTATCTGCGCACGTCATCGCGGCTCTTTGACGCGAGATGCACTCCGACTTCCCTTGACTCGAGCATTTATTGCCTCTAGTACGGTACACCGGCGACGTGTGTGATGGTAATCCATAGTTTGTATGACCTCGGGTTAAGAACTTCACACCGCGGGACAAGTAGGAAGAAAAGAAAAGACCATTCCAAGGTCTCAATGCACGGGCGGACGAACATGCGCAGAAGCTCAAGCCTCAAAGCTAGTGGAACGGGTGACAGCCAACAATGTAGTTCTCACGGGAGTTGAAGAGGCCCGGGCTACGGGTATCAGAGTTGGCATGACCTGCCGGGGCCACGAGGCGAACGGGGCGCCATATTGATGAATCTGGAATGCTTGCTGGTGCCGAGTTCCCGCGTCTCGGCAGCCTAAATCTCCTAGAGCCTATGTAGGATCCAATAAACGGACCGCTCGAGCGCCTGTTGTGAACTCTATCTTCGGTCTTTTTGCGGAACCCGTGCCCTCCAGTCCACGCCTCCGGACGATGACTCCTTTCCTGACGAACCTGTGATGATGCAGCCTCATTGTGCTGCTTATGCCACCGCCTCCGTGATCGCCCAGAACCAGGTGAGGAGCGTGAAGCCTGGAACGGCAGAGGCTTGGAGACAAAAGAGAAAAGGCAACCAGTGGCAATGCCTGCTTGATCGCAACTTTGGTCAATCACATGATGTTCGTAGGACTGTTCCACTGCCTACATCCAACACGAACGGCGCCTCCGCTAGGTAGGCCAAAAGCAGGAAAAAGTGATAAACTGTACGACATGCTCGCCTTTCGTCTCTCTACGTAACATCTGTACTTTCCCCCCCGCCTAGGTAGAACATGATGCATTAGCTTTTACTCCCACTCTCCGTAAGCGAACTGGTTCAGTCCAGGGCCGTGCCCAGTGCCTAATCTTCACGTTCCTCCGGGGCGAGCATCTTAAACTTTTCTCTTCTTCGTCAGTGTGTTGTACGTGGGCGTACGAGCAAGGTATATGGAATGCACTGCCTCGTGTGATGGGATGATGGTAGAGTCTAGAAGTATAAAACCTGCCTCTCATCTGTTGTTTCATGCACTCATTGCGTCAAGATATGGGCATATCGCATAGAACTTCAATAACGTTTCTTGTTCTGTGTTCCATATCCCAACACAACTTGTCCTCAGACGTCACCTCATTTGCAATGCGCCGAAGAGACAGAGGTCCGGGAGGTGACAATAGCCGTCCAGGAGGTGATAATAGCCGTCCAGGAGGTGGCAATAGCCGTCCGAGAGGTGACAATAGCTCTGCTCCTTGCGCCCAGGTCTCCTCGTCCTCTAGCCACCTCATTAATCACGGCATCGAGAACCGCACGATATCCCGATACGAGACCACGGCAGTGTACACCCACCCGAACGCTGAGGTGGACATCGTCCTCGTCCACGGACTCAACGGCAGCCCCGAGAAGACATGGACGGCCAGAAACGGCATATTCTGGCCACTTGACCTCCTCCCCGGCTCCCTCAAGGGTCTTCAGGCCAACGTCCTCGTGTACGGTTACAACGCCGACGTCTATTCCGGGCGGATCGATCGGAGCGCGAGCGACAACTTCATACACCACCACGCCCAGACCCTCGTGACCAGCCTCACCCTCTTCCGCCGAGGCGAGGGCACGTTCAAGAACCCCATCATCTGGGTCTGTCACAGCCTGGGCGGAATCCTCGTCAAGCGCGCTTTGTTGTACTCAAACGACGTGCGAGGGCACCACCATCAGATCTACCGCTCGCTCTACGTCTCGACCTTCGGGCTTATATTCCTCGGCACACCCCACACTGGTGCGGACGTAGCCTCGTGGGGGCTCATGTTACAAGCCATGTCTGACGTTGTCATCCCCCGCCGCTTCTTCGAATCGGAGTCGGTCCTGCTCAGGACCCTGAAGAAGGACAGTGAGACGTTGGCCAACATCAATAACCACTTCCTGGACATCTACCAGCGGTTCAGGATCCACATGGTTCACGAGAACCATAAAACTGACATCAAGGGCACAAAGTTGGTATAACCCCATTAACCCCCCATGCATGTTGTGTGTGGCAGTGACTAATGTCTCGTACTATCGTCTTACAGAATCATCGTGGTGGACGCAGATTCTGCAAGCCCTCAGTTGCCGGGTGTCACCTATTATGGCGTGGAGGCGACACACTCCCAGCTTTGTAAGTTCGCCAGCCCTAGCGCTCCGGGGTTCAGAGCCCTGTCAACAGATATTCGGGAATGGATTATCGAAGCGCCCGCTGTGATTCATGGGCGCTGGAAGGCCGAGGAGGAAGATGCCAATAGACGGATGCGAAACGAGATCCAGGAGCATATCTTCCCGCTGGTGAGTAGACCACTCTCTGGTTATGTGGCTCATGTTTCTGACATATGTTCTTGAAATTTAGGTTACGGAGACGGACGTACACCGTGAAGACGTGCCAACGGCTGCCCTGCCTCAGTATCAGGGCAGACTGATTGCTCCACGCGGCAAAGATACTGCCAGATGGTGGGTGTTCCTGCAGGAGGATGACGGAGTACATGGTTTCAATGCTGATTGATTGGCCCTTTCTCAGTTGTTTTGCTAATACAGGGAGTAGCGAGTGAGGCTCGTGTATAGAATGTGATGCCCTGTTTGTATGTTGCGTATAAAACGAAAGAAAGTGACAATATTTGCGTATTATCCCTCAAGTATGTATTATTGATACTCAATAATTGGATAATACCGGTTGCAGACTCGATAATAAGCAGGGGAGGCGGACTGGTTTTCCAAAGGGATCAAATCAAATGATATGCATTGACGTTGGCATGGCTTCGCTCTGATGCTGTTTTATGTTCTCACAATACAGTAATATTGAAGAGAGGTGAAATGAAGTGTGCGCCCGATTTCTGTTTGTAATAAAATCGTTCAGAGCCACTCAGGCTTGTCGGATCCCAAGGGCTTAGGCATAATGGTGAATCCCACTTCAGCACCTTCAATCCGAGCGCTGTGTTTAATGGACTGAAGCATGCCGAACTCAGAGTTTCTCAGCTCGTAGTATTCGAGAGGAATATCATCAGGCTGATCAAAGTCTTTCACCTTGAACCCACTAGACCCTGGATATTGACCCAAGGAGCGGAGGTACTTCATAGTCCCTGCTAGGGATACGTCGACACGCCACGAGCCGCCATAATGGAATTTACGGTAAAGTGCAGCCATGGCCCCAGAGGCAAGTAGATAGCCTGCGGCGTGGTCAAGGACCTGGCAGGGAGCAGGCCTGGCGATCTCGCCCTGCCCGTAATGCTCAGCTTCAGAGACATTCATGCCGGAGCACGTTTGGACAAGGGAATCGAAACCTCGTCGCTTCGACCAAGGGCCACGGGTGCCAAAGGCTGACAGGTTGGCGACGACAAGCCCAGGGTTCAAGCCAGCTAGATCCTCTGGCCCCAGACCATACGCTGCAAGAGCTCCCGGACGGAAGCCTTGGATGAAGATATCAGCCTTCTTGAGAAGTCTCAGGAGTTTTAACCTTTCTTCGGGTACATTTAGATCTAGCTGAACAGTACGCTTGCCACGGCTAAATTCACGGTCCAGGTAAGGCAGATCGGGAAGATTGGGTGACGTTACCCAGATGACATCTGCTCCATGGGCAGCCAAGGTCTTACCAGCCACAGGAGATGCTATAACTCGGGACATCTCGACTACACGAACTCCCTTCAGGCACATTGGACTCGGGTTTACCAGTCTCTTTGGGAGGCCCGCGGTGCCGTTTGTTGAAACCAGCGAGATCTCAATCGGAAATGTGTTGATCGCCTTGGCCTGGGGCAAAACGTCCCATTGTTCGAAGCTCCTTAGGGCGTAGTTAGCAAGCTTGAGCTCCGTCAAAGAGACGGTTTCAAGGTCAATAGCTGCCCAGTGACGGAGCTTCTCAGCCAGCTGCTCGCGAGTTGAGCCTTCCGGGAGCCCCGCCAGTTTCAGCGTGCCAATCGAATGGTTGGGGAAACCATCGTGAACACGGACGTAGCCGTCAGAGGTCTTATGCAGCCCTCCTATCGGGATACTTTCTGATGTTGGCCGCTGGCCATCGAGGAGGTAGAGACGCTCCGACTTGAACTCAATGACTGCATGTCTCCGCGTGACCTCGACCCTTGGCACAAGACTTTGCGAGCGCAGGGCCCAAATCTGGGCAGCGGCCAGAGCAGAGAGGGCAATTGCGCTCTGTGCAAGGATGCCAATCTTGAAGGACGATGGGAGGCTCGGCTGTGCAGTATCACCGGGGAGCTGGAGGGCAGCCAGTGCCTCTATGGGCAGCTCAAGCCCGATCCAGAGCTCCTGCACCACGTTCCTGGCGAGGAAATTACTGCGGTCAGGGATCTCGTAGACATCGTCCTCAGAGTTTGTCATGCTGCCTGTAGGCTTAGTTTCCGCGGAGGCATACTGATGGTTGCGCACAATTGAAACTGATCCGAGACTCCACCTGTGATTGCTCCAGCGCCAGTCTTGTTGCTCCTGCCCTGGAACATGAATGACTAATCTGGGGCCCCATTGAGACCAGAACCAGTCAAATAATTGTGTTAATTTTGGCATTCAACGAGACTTTGGTTTACATCAATACACATTATTATGAACGTTTCCATATCCATGCACTCAATCGTGAGAGAAGCGAGGCCCTCGTCTTACTCCACTACAGAGCAGAGGATCAGCAGGGGAAGCTCCGAGGGTTAGTTTCAAAGAGACATATCCAAGCTGGTAGACAACCGTATTGGTGACCGCAAATACGGTAAAGTTATGTCTGAACGTTGGAACGGTACGGATGAGAGATTCACTCACGCCGGGCAGTGTATCTAATGTTGGTTGTCCAATTGACATCAATGGCAGACCGACAACGGAGTGGCGATGGGCCAGACCGCCGATCCTCCTATCGCTCTGGTTCCCCTGCCAATCTACAGAGCTGAAAGTGAGGATATCCAGCCATGGGCTGACGAGAGCGGCTCAGTGATGCCCGAAGCGCCGTGCGCGCCCAGAAGCATCCCTTATCTTGTACAACTGGCGTGATTCTAGATCCTCGAATTGTCATCAGACTCCGGCGGTGAGCAGAATCCCGGTCTGTTTCTCTTTGCTTCTCACATCGACTGCTCATGTCGTATGAACTTGTCAAGTGGATAGTGTGGAACTAACACTGCACCATCTGCCGTGGTGAGACAAATCATTCCCGAAGGCTATTCTAGATGTGAGATACCATGCGAGGCCCCGGTCTAGCAACGCGATAGATAACCCTTCGGGCGTCTTTCTGACTCAGTTTGAGACAAGCTGCATGCATGTCTAGGGAATTCATTAAAATTTCTGCAGGGTGTGAATCACCCCGTGGCTGTTGGAACCATGAAGGTGCATTTTCCGACCGGTACCCTGCATATACATCAAGCAAATAGGCACGCCCAAATGATATCAATGTATGCACCCATTATATTGACCGATGCCTTGTAAATGAAACCATCAATGGCGCACACAGGTGTCGGTATTGCGAGAATCACATGGCAGGGTAGCAGCCGAGACAAGGTCGATAGTGTCCACTTCAAACCTCCTGCACTTTGGATAGGCAAACAGCCGTTGATCGGAGAAAACCCATGGAACACTCACGATATCACCCTCGCACCACGCACACACCCATAAGCCGGTCTAATTGTTCCCAGCCAGCCTCTCGCGGGCTGCACGGTCGATTGGACATCGTGGTCGAGCCATATCCGAAGTCCGGCGCTGAGGGCGTGGACTCGGCCGGGTCCGCGGCGACGTGTGTGCCCACGAGACCCGATAGTGGAACTCCCGCGGAAGGCCTTTATTCTAATTCTCGATTTTTTTTTATTTTACGCGGTGTTCGTGGATCTCACGATGCTCTCCAGTGGGGTCTTAGTGTGCGTCCCACCCCAAAAAAATCGATCTGATCTGAATGGATCTGATTGATGCGCAGCAACGTCCAGGGATCTAGATTCAGTAAAAAACGGACGTCTGCCAGTTTTCAACATCACAGAAAGGGTCCGTATCAGACTCTAATCGCCGAGCCAAAAAATATTGTCAGCCACTCACATCTCACAACGACCAGCGATCACGGTCCCCTACATCTTCACACCGATGGTCGGAATTGCATGCTCGGTAAAAATCGGACCACCCTCTGCGACCCAAGTTTCTGTTTGGTGCACAGACTCGCTGCAACGTAGGGTGAGAATCCCCCTCGAATTGTACATTGTAAACTGTACATTGTACGTAACCGTAGATACTGTGTGCAGACAACAGATGAGAGAACCCTCAAAAGTGGTCCACCGGATGACGCATGGCGTTTCGGGCACAGGAAGAGGCCAATCAGCTGCGACCTGGCAGGCAGCCAGCGATGAGGCGAGATCCGTTCACGTTTTCGTATCTCGCCTCCTGTGTGTTTTCGTGGCGTATTTTCTCTCTTTACTAATTAGCCAGCCGCCTTGACCTCGATTTAGCTTGACAAGGGACGCGGGACAAGGGCTTTCCATGGGTAACGGAGGAACCAAACCAGTAAGAGATCACCTTCAAATGAACTAGTAGTTGATGGTGGTTACATGCATGCATAAGGGTTCCACATTACTATTCAGACACGGCCCCTCCCTCTCATTTTTTGTTTCACAACTACAATTGGACCGGACGAATCCCGTGCTGAGGACGTTGATGGTGTGTTAAGTCATGGTCTATTCGGTCTATGCTATGTAGAGACGCGAGGCAGAAAGCGTCACGCTTCTATGCTAATCCTGCTGCCTTTTCAGGTCGGTGTGACCAGCTTCCGAATCCCAAGAAATGATGTGACCTTAGAGATGCAAGCAACCCTGATGGTCGGCGCCATGAGTCTGGCGACCAAAGCATCAAGCTCTGGCGCGGGGATATATAGAACGTCTCACTGGAGTTCCCAGGTTCATAAATGCGGACAAAAAAAAAGAAAAAGTCTAAGAATAGTCGTTAAATTTCGTTAGGTCGTTCAGTCCTTGGACTTGTGCATGCTGCCGGTGACGTAATTCTCCTCAAGCTTGTCGATGATGGCGACATCCTCGGGTGCAAGCTCGAAGTCAAAGCTGTCCAAGTTGCTCTGGATGCGGTGGGCTGTCAAGCTCTTGGGGAGGACAACATTACCGCGGGCGGCGCTCCAGTTGAGGAGGATCTGGGCGGGGGTCTTGCCGTACTTCTCGGACAGAGCGACAATAGTAGAATCCTCGAGCTTGTTACCACGAGCGAGAGGCGAGTAAGCCTCAATCTTGATGCCGTGCTTGCTGCAGAGGTCAACAAGGGCCTGGCGCTGGCAGAAGGGGTGGACCTCGATCTGGTTGACGGCAGGAACAATTTTTGCATTCTGGATCAGGTTCTCAATGTGGCCAGCACCGAAGTTTGAGACACCGATAGACTTGACCTTGCCAAGCTTCTGGGCGGTCTCCAGGGCACGCCAGCTGGCAAGGCGCTTCTCCTCGTCGTCAGCGGGAGAGTGGATGAGATACAGGTCAAGATAGTCGAGACCAAACTTGTCAAGAGATTCGCAGAGGGCGTTGAAGGTGGCCTCATAACCGTGGTCAGCGTCCCAAAGCTTGGAGCAGACGTAGACCTCCTCACGGGGAGTGCCAGTCTTCTCGAGCCAGCGGCGGATAGCACGACCACAAGCCTCCTCGTTGGCGTAACGGGCGGCAGAGTCGATGTGGCGGTAACCGGCGTCAAGAGCGGCAGTGACAGCGTCCTCAGTCTCCTGACCGTTGGGGGCCTTGTAAACACCGAGAGCTACCTGGGGGATGAAGTTGCCGTCGTTGAGCTTGACAGAGTTGCCGCGGGGGCGGGAAGGGTCGAGGACAACCTTCTTGACAACTCCGGCCTGGCGCTCGGGGGAAACTGCAGAGGGAGCCATTGTGATATAGTGAGAGAGAGAAAAGAAGCAACGCTGTCTATAGGGTTTAGGAATGAAGGGTTTATGAAGAAAGTAGAGGATATCAGAAGATGGAAAGTGCTTGTCTTTGATGAGGATTGAAAAGAAGAAATCCAATCCAGAACGAACCCATGGGCATCTTTTATACTTGAAACGTGACGTAACCGGCAACCCAAGCATTATCATACTGGCCTACACACCCATCATACCTAAAGTCGCTGCTGTATACCGACATCCTTGGCTGGCCGTGATTGCCGCCGGTATCTTGTCGTTTCTGACTGTCTTGTTCTCACGCCGGCGTGTTGATATGTGGGTCTTGATGGAGTAAGTCGTCGACACCTCCGTCGCGACGTCTCGCACAATAGATGCGCAGTTACGGAGCTATTGTGGACACTTGTGGAGGCTTTGGTGATAAGAAGTACTGCGTTATTTATCAATAGATCCAGTGTTTTTGTTTTCGTGTCTCCAGTCCGTGCTGATGGCGATGTGCTGATCCTGCAAGTATCCCTTGGCCTCATATGTACCTTTCTATGCAACCATAAACTCGAGGCTAGGCACAGGGCAAGGCATCAAAGCCTTTGGGGCAGTAACTCTCCGAAGGCACATGGCAAATCCGGGGGCAAGCTGGCTCTTCCTAGCAGGTGAACCGGCACATTGAAACAGTGCAAACTCAAAATTGCCAGAAAGAACGTGCCTGGACAGGGATTGTCTCAGATCACTAGAGTATGTATCTAGAGCCATGAACTGTGTCAAAGGACAATTGATATGGCACTCCCCGAACCCTTCGATGAAGCTGGAAGGATGAACGTGTATCCAACCACTTCCAGGTATCTCGAGCACAATGACGAAGATGGTGGGACTGGATAAGACGCCGACGGCAAGACCCTGACTAGCCGCATCGGAGGTCCGCTTTTGACGTCCAATGGGCCCCTGAGCAACGAGAGATTGGCGCAGAGTTTTCTAGACGTTCTTCTCTTGACGGGAGTATATTTCTGGTAAGCCAAAGGTCGAGCATTCCTATTCGTTGTTGACCTGAAAATTTTCCCCTCCGTTTCCCTCAGTTTCCTCCGTTTTCGCAAGGGGTGAAGCCACCCCGTTTGTACCTCTACCTTATCTGGGAGAAAGGCTTCATGCATGGAGCATATGTCGTAGTGCCCTAGCCTGTACGACGACGAGGTAAGGGACGGAGCACACTCGGTTCCGACGTCATGATTTCCCGCCTTATTAGAAGGGGAAAAATAGACACCTCTCCTTATCCCATCGTGAAGCTGTAGCCTAGAGGGGCTGGTGCGCGCGGTGGGAGCGGTTAGCTATGGCCCGTGGGACCCTGCAACCACAGCTTACCGTCTGGCTCGGCAAGGGGCCAGCGTTACATGCTAGGGCGTGCTTGGCGGCCGGCCCTCAGGCTAACCAGCTGTGCCTGAGGGCCAGATTACGGCATGGCATGGCATTGCACCAATTCTGTGAACATGAGTCGGTGGGCACTGGCTGCGGCCTTGCGGCTGAGCGAGGTGGGCGCAAAAACGGAGCTGGACGGTGTCCAAAGCGCATGAACGGGACTGTGTTTGCGCCATACAGGCACGGCAAACTACACCGTGCAGACCCAATCACTCGCATTGGCCCCCACCGACCGACATGGTCCTCTGGGCTGGCTCGGTTTCGAAAAGACGGAGCGAGTCGCTGCCTCAGTTCCGTTTGGCCTGCTCTGGCTGCTCCGTCTGTATCTTTTCTCTCCGAGTGTGAATCTGACGTCACACAATCCACCAGGGCTCCAGTGCAATTCCACTAAATTTGCTTCAAGTGGCCGTATTTCTCCATCTGCCAACGCGCATGGCAGCGATAATATTATGTGCAATGTCTCAAATGCACATCCTCTCCACCGAAATACACACTCGCAGGGGCCGTCCATGCACGGTGACATTGAAGGGTGCTGCACTTGCTCGTCCCGTTTGCCCAGCCGGCGGTCGCCAGGGCTCGGTTACCAGTGCCGATCCTTTGGCATGGCCAACGCCAGGCGAGGAACGTTCGCAGATGGCTGGGATGAATCAGTTCCGGGAGACGGACCAGATTCTTGCGGCCGCCATGGCATCATCGGGTTCACTGATCATCGTTGCCAAGAAATTCCCTTCGCAGACCGCCCAGACCGCGATGCCTATCCCTTGCATGTGAGATCCTGGATCGACCAGGCCGCCAGATAAGCCTAAGATGACAGGCCATTTGAGGAACGATATCGTTCAGCCAGAGCCTGCCTTTCCTTAGATTGCCGGACGTGACTCTGGTCAGGATCTCCCTGTTTCTTGATACACATAGTCTGGCACTAGTTCGGCCATCTCAATGCTTCGCCCTTGGCTCTTTGAGAAGGCATCCATACATGTACATAGGTGCATGCTGGTCGTGCGGCAGATCAGCCCCCTGTACATTCTGTTCAACCCTCCATCTGCAGGTGAAAGCCCAAAAAAAGGCAGGGGAGAAGAAACCTTCTCAGATTGGTAGTGCATGGTAGAGCGACACCCAGCCCTATTGGTCAAGAGACCCTGGCTGCCTTGGCCTCGAGTATACCATACATTTCCTAGTGGTGTGACTGAAGCAGGTGAATACAGTTGTCTCACTGTCTCACCCTTATCAGTCTGGACATCCAGCCATCTGCAACATCGTAGCCATCCTTTTCAGCTTACCCAGTAGTCACGACAGCTGAGATAGATCGATGGCCACTGCCCAGCAACTAATGCCTAGTCCACATGTACATAAGTACGGTGCACAGTTACGCACTACAGATGGCGCAAGCGTCGAGGGTTTATTGAAGCAGTCTCACCAGCAAGCCGACTCCCATTCGATGGTAGACCAACCGGTCTCCATTACGCATCTCCACCGGTATCCGGGTTCAGCTGCTACTTCGAGACATGCTGCCAGTAGGCACGTTGGCACGGTAGCGTATTCTCGTTTGCTTCTTCGGGTCGCAGGAAACGGAGTGGATAACGATCCTTGTCCTGATGGCCTTTGCTGCTGTTTCTCCCATCTGCAGCATGCGCTAGCTATTCTTGAGTAAGGTACTCTGGCCAGCTCTCTGCATGTTCGATTCGCTTGGATGGCGTCTTGGCACAGAAAACATGTCATCATGCTGCCTCCACCATTTTGTGCGATAATGGCGCCTATTCTGACATTTACAAATGAGTCCCACAATGCGTCTCGAAGCGGTGGTGATCCTCGCTCTTCCATCTGAGGAGAGGAGACAACAACTGGGACCAACAGTTCCTTGTCATTCTAGGCACGGTGGGAAAGTGGAAATTCACATCCTCCTCCGTTAGGAAGGGAGAAATGTAACCTGAAGATGGCTTGGCATCAGGTTGTCGGCTTGCCCAACTCTCCTCTGGCCCCTTTCTCTCGCGGAGCAGGGTAGACGCAACCCCAGCATCTTACAAAAGCCAGTAAATTCCGTGTTACTAGACGGCTGTGCAGCTTCATAAGCGAGAGATATAGGTAGCTGAACTCGTATCCAGGAGCTGTTGTCTTATACCGTTCAGCAACGACTCCGAGATACATGCCTTTCCAGAGTTTCATTTTATGAATCAGCAAATATGGCCTCGGCTAATAAGTAATTCTATCAGGCCACAGACATCATATTGGCTGTATTCGCCAACTATTGCCCGGGTCATGCCGGGAATTCGCACCAAGGACGCCGCTCATGTCTCAAGAAATTGGCATTCTTGATATAGGCTTTCTATGCGAAGCCTTCGATCAACAATCCATGGTCCTTCTTGATAGGTGAGTATAATAAAGGGAAGGCCTTGCCAACATCCCGTTGGATCGTGGGGAAGATTAAGACAGTGTTTCTTGAAGCGGAGTTGTCTTGTCTTCCTCTGGCAAACTGGCCCAGCATACCATTTCCAATCATGCAAGTCGGACGAATCATCGGAGCTGCTCTACTCGCCTGGGAATCGAATCTGGCGGCAGCCTGCTCAGGAGATAATTGTGCCAACCATGTCACTGGGCAGTGGCCAGGGATTGGCGTCCCCATCGAGTCACGCATCTCGATGTGCAATTCCTTTCTGAGGGTGACAATCGTGCCAAACACGACGTGAGCGAAGGCGGTTTCTCCATACCCCGGGACTTGATCCACCTGACTGACTCGCCGCAGGACAGTCACTTCCACGATCTTCAAGTACATGCCGACGAATGTCGCTGGCGTAGTTGTGCGGGATGAGCCTGCAAACAGCAGTGCCTCCTCGCCCACGTCCTTCAGGGCCAACGCTACCGAAACAGTCCCGTATTTTGGCTATGATCAAACCGTGGTCCCCAGCATAGTCCCCACCTTTGCCACGAGCCAATGCCCAGAGCCAAGCCGGTTCTCGTCAGCTTGCTCGTGCTGGGCGAGCGTAACAGCAGGCACCACCACAATGTCGGCACCGACCGTCACAGTCACGACCACCCGGGTCGACGATGTCGGCTGTGGGCCGGCCGCCACAGCTGTTGCTCCCGGGAACGGGTCATACTTCCCATGCTCGAGGCAATGGGGGACTTGCAGCTGCCTCAAGTCTGGCAACCAGGCGGTCTGTGTTCGGATCGGGCCTTATCTCGGCGACGGGAGAAACATGACAGGCCCTTGCGGTGACTTTGACGAGTGTGACTCAGACGGGAACTGTAGAAATGGCTATTTGTGTGTGTTTGATGGGTCGTGTGAGTGTGGGAGGAGGCGCTGTTACCGGGCTGCTCCTAGGGGTTGTGACTATCAGGGTCTTCCACCCGAAGAGGTCAATCTGAAAACGGAACTCGGCCTTTGAGAGCCGATGGAACCCTCTTATAGAGGGTGCTGGCCTGGGCCTATTGATTTTTTTTTAATTTTCCCTTCTTTTCTGCGTTGGTTGAATGATCCCTTGTTTTCGCAGTTGGAGTGCGGTAATTCTCTCATATCTTGCAATAGGGTTCCTCAGCAGATTTCTTCTGGCAGCGAATAATCAGTCCAATGTAACCATATCTTCCTTGGCGTACCTTCTCACTTGGCAACAACTTTTTGCGGCTGAGTAAGGTCGATGCTGCCTTGGAGTGGCTATCATGTAACCCAAAGGCAGGCGTGATGCTCTCTGCTGACCACTGGATAGGCGATCCCTTCCCCGCCGCGGGACAAGGAGCACTAAGCTCAAAGGAAGCAGCGAATGATCTCGTGTGAGCAAGGCGGCGTAAATTAGCAAGTCCTTTACCACTCCTCCGCCACATGTGGGAGCGCCTTCAATCAGGCACCAGCCTAGGTCAGCTCTGCCTGGTGAGGGAGGAGGGTTGGGGCAGCCTTCTTGAGGTGGGGGAATTTGACCCCATGACTGCTAAGACAGCATCAGCCACCAGCTACTAGGTGCAAATGATCCCGGCATCGTCATCCCAATAATATCCAAATCGCTCTTTGGATCGGCCTTGGCGATGGTTTCTCTCATTCCTACCTCCTATCCGTGACCGATGCGGATCCCCCGTCGCAGATGGAACTATCCATCACCTGCCCGTGCACGACCCTGATTCATCTCTGCCCATGAACATTTCTTAATCTCAAATATCTGTTACATCTTTCGGTCGAACTATCATCTCTTGCTTCTACCTATTCGTCGCCGCCGCTGGCCGTTGCGAAAGGGATATTTTGCTGGCGTTGACGGTATCATGGCCAGCTCGACAAATTTCTATCGCTCGCAGGCTGGCGGCTCCTCCATCATCAACTATGGCTATACAGACTTTCCCTGGAGGCTCTTTGTAAAGGATCTCTATTACTTTTTCGCTTACTCTTGGTCGATTCCATGGATTCTTTGGCCTTTCTACGTTTCCGGCTCAAATGGCTTCAATGAGTTGTCGGCTACATGGGGGAATATGTTCTGTGTCGCTCTGCATGTCTTCCTCCTTGTTTTGCAAGGCGGATTCCTCGTTTCTCTGCCGTTGTGCCTCATTTTGCCTGTCTGGATGGCAGTGGGCGGCATCGGCGTATTTGTTCTACTGAATACCACGCTGTGCAGGCTGCTGAATGGCAGCAACGCCACATACAAATCCGAGGCAAAATATGCACTGCCAAGGCCGGAACATGCTCACGAGCAGTGGGTGTTTGTCAACGGGGTGTCTGTTGGGTGAGTAGAATGGGATCCATCCACTTCCACCTCTATATTGATGGCTTTTCTAGTCGACACTGGCTCCAGGGGAATTTGAATCGGTTGGCCATCACTTTCAAGCGCCCAATACTTGGCATCCACAACCCTACAAGTGGCATCATATTTGACCTCATAGAGTGTCTGGTTCAGCGGAACTTTTCCTATGCGACGTCCGACGTCCGTAATGTGTACAGGGTCCTCAAAGACGTGCTGTATGACCCTGGAAAATCCAAAGTAGTCCTCATCCTCCATTCCCAGGGAGGTATAGAAGGCGGTCTGGTGATAGATTGGCTTCTGCAAGAGTTGCCGCAAGATCTTCTCTCGAAGCTGGAGGTGTATACATTTGGGAACGCAGCTAACCACTTCAACAACCCTCACCGCCATGTCATTTCTCAGCAATTGATGCAAAGATACCCCTATCTCGCCGCCAACACCATCGTCACTGAGACTAGTGCGACATCTCCAATAACGCCAATCGAAGAACCGAGAAGACGGCCTCTGCAATTGAGTACGGCCATGTTGTCCTCTTCACGCACCGCATTGACAGGTCAGGATCGTGCCATCTCGCATGTGGAGCATTATGCTCACATAAACGACTTCGTGGCTCTTTTGGGGGTTCTGCACTTCGTGACAAACACTATGGGCTCTCCGCAGATCCCTCGGTTCGTCGGTCGTCTTTTTGCCAGGTCATCCGGAAATGGTGGACACCTATTTAACCAACACTACCTCGAAGGTATGTTCCCGCTCGCCCAAGATCCGAAAACCGGAGAGTTTGTTGGCGCCGATGAACAAAACTCCTTCATGGATGAAGTTGTCGGCTTTAGCACAGAGAACGTGTCTATGGAGGACTCCAGAGAATCGCTTGAGGTCACCGTTGCCAGCACATGGAGACTTTCGTCCAACTCGCCGGAGGTAGCCGTGGCAGTCCACGGAGTAGATCCGGAATTTGCAAAGAGGAAAGAAGAAATCAAGGTCCGAGACTTGTGTCGGCTATGGAGTTATCGAAATGGAAGGAGCCCTAAAGAAAGCCCGCCTCTGCTGTTTCTCGAAGGAGGCATCCCTCGAAATGCCACGCTATAGGGTTGTAGTGGACATGCCCGTGGCAGAGAGTGGAGGGCAGGGACTACAATTGCTTCTGAGGCGCCGAGGCGATTAGTGAGACGAGATTGTATGGTGGCGCGAAGGCAGAATGCCTCAGACCCTTTGATGTCGTATTCCAGTCAAAGCAAGCAGGAGAGAAGAGTTTGAACAGCAAGTCTGGGGCTCATCAGAAATTTTGTAGTTCACCTCAATTAAATGACCTTAAGAACTTGGATAATTTAGGCTGCCCTCCTCTTTCATTAGTTTGCTTGCGAATCAACTATGCTTGGTTTCGCTTCACAATATCGTTTGTGGCCCATCCTTTTGCAGTCCCTGTTATTCTAGCTCACGCCTGTCTAATTCTCGATTTCGAGACTATTTCGATAATATCATACTTACTAAACCATGTTTATCACCTCAATTTAGGAACACTTGGTCGGAAGGTCTGTTTGTCGAACATAGCCTAGACTGTCGCACCTTATATGTTAGGGGTTTGAGCGCCTTTCGGGATCAACTCTCGAGGTATGAGAGTAGAAAAGCAACAAGTTTAGAACTAGAAGGAGAGGAATACGAAAACCGGTCTCCCTTGGATTAACTCCTCGAATGGATAATTGCTCCAAACCTCAAATGTGCTAATGGGACTTGACCTGAAGCACATGCGGGCATGAGGGGAGCTATCCGGTGCGAAACACCCATATGAGAAGGAAGACACCATCACAGATCCACACACATGCAACCAATGCTAATCAGTACAGGTTCTTCAAGGCATAAGCTTTGGTGGGCGTTCGAGCAGGATCAATGCGGGGCACGGATGGCATTGTCTTTGTTGATACAAAGGCACCAAGACCCTCGCTTCGAAGCATAGAAACCACTAGACCAGCATCGCTGATTGTGACTATGACACTCTAAAACCCGTGGCACAAACTCATTCGTTCGCAAGTAGGGCAGATCCTACAAGGATGTGTAAGAGCCAAGTTCTTGCCCGCTATTGGTCGTAACCGTCTGGCCACGAGTACAAACAAACTCGAACGGCCGTGGTTCGCGAAGCATTGACAAGGCAACTGACGTCCACTCCGCAACATGACGACCCCGACAAGTCTTCTGATGGTGGGTATAGGTTACAATCTCCATGGGTGATGGGTTGGGCTCTCTTGCAGGGTTGACAGCTCGTTGGTGCATAACAATCACGATATTACTAGGTGGAATTGTATTCGATGATTGATAACAGAGTAATTTGTTCGGGCATAAACAGACAGGAAGCAGTTCAGAGTCACGGAGGAATATGCTATTATGGAAAGTCGACTTGCAGGCTGGCAAGGCACGGAGATTTTCTTAATCTTCCTCGTCTCCTCTTTAGCAAATCAGATGGCGGAGGAGGCGATTTTTGTTCCGTTGCCACGAGGTTCCTGGCGCATTGGCAAGGATGGGCCCGGTAGGGTGTGCGCTCGTGGCATGCCTGTGAGGTTTGCCCGCATGTGCCTCCGCATGTGTTTTGTCTTGCTGACATTCCGAGACCTCAGGGCATTCAATCATTCGAAAGCTGGTGTGAATGGGTGTGCAGTTTGAGGGGACAACGCATACGGGGGCGCTTAGGACTTCCCGACCTTCCCATGTTGGAATATTGGATGGTTGATGGGCCCGTTGATTGGGGATCGGAAATCCCCGCCTGGTGTCCATGCCACCTCATCATGATCCTTGCTACCACATGGGCAGGGCTTCGTGAACTGAGCCTACTGAGGTATTGGAAGCCCAAAGGCCCGGTATATCGGTAGATTGAGATTGGTGTGCCTCCGTTGCCAACTATGGGGAATTAATTGGCCTGCTAGCGATGATAAGCGAATGGATTTCTGCTAAGTATTTTGGATGCTAAGATAGTCTGGTAGATATTGTCCGGGGAGCCAATGCTAAATCAGTCACTGTATTGTGGTTGACCGAGAACGGCCATAACGATCGACACAGTCCTGCACCTGATTGTCGGTAGAACGTTCAGGTGAACGATGTTTCCAGGTTGTGTGTGCGGTGAATCAGGGAGGGCCAAGGTCTTACGGAATATGTCTCACTGTGAAACTGGATCGTCTTTACAGACCAGGCATTTTGGATTTGACCCAGCAGGCCTATCTCGCGAGCCGACCAACCAGCTTAACCAGGATAATGGTCGGCGGATTATTCATCTCATCGTCCGTCCGAAGAGTCGATGTCAAGAGCCGCACTCGTTATGTCACCGGAGGCTTGCCCAAGCTTGGTTACCAGATCGTTAACTTCAATAGCAGACTCCAGACAACGTAGTGTCACTCGCTCTTTGTGTAATTTGGCCGCCTACAACCCCCAGAAATGAAATCGTTCTCCAAAATACCTGGCCAGCGTTATAGCTTTGGTTGCTGCATGGACTTGGACATCTTCAAGTTGGGAGCGCTCAATCTTGCGCTTGTGGCTTGAAGGATCCGGCCGGGCTGCAAGGGCCAAGGTGCACCGGAACAAGATGTAGCAGCGCCTAGAGATAATGAAGTGTTACATGAATCAACATGTCTTGTGCGTATAGAATTACACAATGCCTCTGAAGACAGTGCATACGTTCCATATTTCTGAAGATGCTCCACGGTGATTATCTTGATTCCGGAAGTCAATGCACACCATTTGGCTCCCATCATTTCATCAATGAATCTACTCACCGACCTTGCGATCTCTTGAGGGCTACAACATCTGTCCAGTGTTGCACCACAGGAAGCTAAGCTTCCCCGCCTGTTTCAGCAACATTCGGGATCCTGAGACGTTAGGGGATCCATGAACATACGGAGGCATTGGTCCTCTCCACCCCATGTTTTGTCCAACGAACAACGAGTCGTTAGGCGAAGCAATAGCCTCTATGATCTGCGGCTAGTCAATCCAGGAAAAGTATGCGAACGGCGCTCCAAGGCGAGCAAGTAGGGCCGTGCCTAACCTTCCTCAGTCAATTGTCGGTAAACGCCAGTGAGACTCACGACCACGCCCAACGACCTCATAGACATCTAGTTTGATGTTGAGACTGCACCAAGTCTGATATAACGTGGAACGGGATGCACGAACACCGTTTGGAGGTAGGCACCGTACTGTGTTGCGCGTGTGTGGCAGACCCAGCATCCTGTAGTTCGGTTTGTTTGCTTTCCTGCCCTCGCCGTTTCTTCTCGAAGTTCGGCGGCCCGGCACGAAGCAAGCCACAGCGAAAAGCACAATGGGTGTTCCTTGTTTCTTTGTTGCATCCTTGGTCCAGAAAAAGAAAGTGGGCAGGCAGGGTGCATAGGGTAGCCGCAGGTGAGGAGACTTTGGGCCGTGGGCGGTTGTGCTTGTCCGTGCACTTGGTGCCATTCCGCTGCGGTGGCGCCAGTCTAGGCACCTGAAGGCTCCACTCCGGGTGCTTGTTCCCAGCAAACAGAGCACATGTGGGTGAAAGGGGGAACCAATCAGCAAGGCATGAGCCCCGTCTGCGGTGCCTGGCCGCCCTGAACTAGCACCGACCTGGCAAGTGGCATCCCCCAGAGAACATGGAAGGCGTCAAAGTTTACCCAAAGTCGACCTGTTCCGGTCTGCGTGAGTCGCTGGGGCGAGATTGCACAATCAATTCACTTCGCGGAGTACGGGTGGGTTAGATTGGGTTGGTTGAATTGGGTTGAGTTGCATTGCGTTGCGTTGGGTTTGTGATAGTATTGCCATTGAGCAGCGTCTTATACCCCCCAAGCTGTAAGCGACGGCCACACCCCTGTAGCGCTCGACGAATTCCCACAGCGCTCGATTCCTCTTCCTCCTCTGTTCTGGAATAGTGTTCGCGTTGTTCACGTTATTGTTCCATCAAGAGTCCGGTGGAGTGCCACACCTGGACCCTGAATCCATGTTTCATCTGTGCGGTGGTCATCCTAATTGAGCGGCCTCAACTCAGCAGCAAGCCTGATAAGTCTGCCGTACACAGGCGCAGATATCTGGCCGAGGAAAGCTTAATTCCCTTTGCTGACATCTGTTGATTTTATTTCCTGAATTACTGTTGCAATTTTTCCTTTTTCCATTTACCCGCACATGCACCGCCGGTTGTGGAATTCATTTCGTTAAGTGCTGTTCGCAATCTCTCAACCACCACCGCACACCCCGATTCCAGGCGCGCGCCACTGCACTCCCTTGCTGGCGCATGCCGCCCCCCAACTAAGACCCGACCAGCGCCAATTGCCCATCAATGTCCAGGCCCAGACAGCACTGCTAGCTCCCTGAGTCCGCCGCCAGCTGCCGCAATGCCCCTACAGCTCAAGACAAATCACTCCCTCCGGCGGAACAATTTTAATACTGCATCCCCGGATGATGCGGCGCCAGATTCCACACTGTATCACTGGTACCTGACCACCTCCAGCAGTGGTGTGCCGAGAGAGGCTTCTGCCGGACCGCTAAGCGCCTCGTCTAGTGGCTCGCGCAGGCCAAGCCGCCATCATAGCCCGAGCACAAGCACCTCCTACCAGCCGAATGAAACCCTTTTAGACAAGCATACCTCCCTCGACGCCGTCGCCGCCGACATGGCAGACCACCATTCCTCCCAAGCCCCTCGTCCTCACCCGCATCGCGACTCGCATGATTTATCCTTATCGACCCGCGATGTTACCCGTGACTCTCTAGTCACTAATATGCTAGTGTCCCTCGACAAGCTCTCCTTCCTGCACAACGACGCCCCGAGATTTGGAGAGGAGGACGACGAGGACGATTTGCCTCGTTTCTTCGACATCCCGAGGTACCGCTTGGAGAATCCCGAACCACCTGTTGCCTTCCATAACCACACTCGAAGTCTCTCCTACAGTTCTGACATTGATACCTCAAGCCGACTGTCGAGCCAGTACTCGCGCGACCGTCGCAGCAATAGTAACGCGACGATCCAGGACGTCCCCCGCCGAGCCAGCCTTGTCCGCGAGACAATGCGTCGAAGCCAGTCGGATACACCAAAGGAATCGCCTCAGCAAGGAAGCCACAGGCACAAGAGCGGCAGTGTTGGCAGTGGGAGCATTGACGGTTTGCAGAGTCAAGGCAATGGCTACACCGGCGGCCGATGGGGTCGCAGCCATCGTCGATCAGCTAGCATCGATCAAGGCTCTCATCCCTCGGATTTGTCCCAGGTAGACAGCATGACGCGCTCGCTCAAGGCCGATAGGGTCACGAGCTTTAACAGCGATGATTTGAATGCCGCGCCCAACCCAACCGTCCCAGGCGGCCCTCGAAAACCCCCCTCGACTGCCCCGAAGCCGTCAGAACCGGCCCAATCCTCATCCGCCCATCGAAATCGTAGCTCGAGTCGATCGGTGAAGAGCGCATCTGCCCGAAACAAAACAGTCGCACGAGAGCCAGCGCCGCCCCTGCCAATTTCTGACTCGGCACCCGCCCCGGCTGTTGGATATGGTAAACCCAAAGAGCAGGCTGCACAACCTGCGAGCAATAATTCGACACCACAGCCCAAGGAGAAGCAAGGCTTCTTCAAGCGTGTGTTTGGTGGTTCTTCAAGGCACAGCAGTAACCCAATTGCTACTACCCCCGACTCGAGCCAAAACGGTCGACGCAATACTGGTGATTCTCCGGCTCCAGATAATGCTAGCACCAGCACTGGCAGCAAGACGCAGGGGAGAGATACAGCATCATCGCATTCGAATCACCCCGTCTTGCAGAAGAAGACCTCGTTTTTCCGACGCCGAAAGAAGTCTGTGGTTGATGATGCACCTCCTGTTTCAGTCGCCGAAAACTTACCTCCGGTTCCACCCCTGAACCTGTACGCTAACAAGGACAAACCTGTTCCCAAAGCCGAAACGAGTCCCGTTAGCAGCCTACGTCAGGTTATGAACCCGTACCTTCGCGACTCAGTAACCCCATCAAAGCCCGGGGTGCCAGCAAAGACCCAGGCCCAGAAGCAGAATCAGACCCCATCAAACGCTGGCAAGATGACCCTGGCTGATCTCATGGGTGGTGAGGAGGAAGAAGGGGACATTGTTGAGCAACAAGCATATAAGAGAGACTTTTCCCCTGAATACGATCCCAGCCCGAACGCCCGAATCAGAAAGGTACAATCAGACTCCTCGCAGGAGAAGGAGAAAGCAGATCAGCTCGCTACTCCATCCCGATCTGCTAGTAAATCGAAGACAACGAATTCTTTCTTGGATCTTGATGGTCCTGGCGAGGCAAATGACGCCGCCCAGAGGAAAGACAAAACAGCACAAACTTTGTTCACCGACAACAGCCGTTTCGGCAAACGGACAAGCAGTCTGTCGCCTGCCTTGACTTCATTCACTGACGACGATCCTACCCCGAAAGCGAAAGCCGAGCCATTCCCAGATCCATCCGTTACTCCTCGAGCCTCTTCAATGATCAAGCCACCTGACCTTCGAATCGAAACAACCTTGGAGTCTGGGGCTAAAATCATGACTCCATTGGACTCCAAGCAACTTGACGAGCCCGAATTTGTTCTTGGCCAGCCGACCGAGGATGACAGACAAAAGGCACAGAGGATTTTTGATGGAAATGAGGATTTCATTCAGAGAGACAAGGCCGCGTCCTGGATGGGTGAGGAAGGTCCTGTGAGAAAGAAGACCCTCCAAGCCTATATGGACCTGTATGACTTCACAAACCAAAGCGTCTTGCAATCATTGCGTCAGGTCTGCAGTCGCTTGGTTTTCCGTGCCGAGACCCAACAAGTCGACCGTATTTTGGTAGCGTTCTCGAAGCGATGGTGTGCATGTAACCCCAACCATGGCTTCAAGGCCTCAGGTAAATATCGCCGCAGGATTCTTCGATTCAACCAAAACTTCGCTAACTTCTTGCAGATATCATTCACACCATTTGCTATTCGATCATGCTTCTCAACACCGATTTACACATGGCAGATATCGAGCAAAAGATGACACGTAGTCAGTTCGTCAAGAATACGATGGGAACAATCATCCAGGCCCTGGCTGAGGTAATGCCGGATGCTCTAGAGAAACGACCACCCATTCTCTCAGCAAAGAGCCCAGGCATGCTTGATACCCCAACAACCATACCATCTGCAACGCCAATATCACCCACGCCTACCGAATCGGAACGCAGATCGTTCAGAAACTCGTTCCGACCACCGCCACGGGGTGATTCGGACGGACTTGATGTTGTGAATGACTGCGGGCCCCTGGTCAAGGCGCCCCACACTGGCAACATCAAAAGCTGGGAAGAGCAAGTAGAGATCGTCCTCAAGTCCATCTACAACTCGATTCGTGATGAGCGACTGCCTCTCTTTGGCGCCGACCCACAGAAGAGTCTACCAACTTCGCCATCACAGGGTTTGGGAGTGATGAACATGCTGAGACGAACCCCAAGTGTGCTCAGCAAGGCTCCATCCGAAGGCAATCTCTCCATGAGAGGTCGTAACGCGGAGTCCACACGTGGGCCAGGCTCTCGCTGGGTGTCCAAGAGCCGCTCCAGACCTCCTGGACTTGGACGTAATGGATTCAACTCGAGTAGAACTAGTTTCGAGGATAACAATTCTCTTTGGAGTCCAGCATTGTCCTCTGCAACATGGAGTCGACAGTCTCTTGGCCGGACACAGACAACAGTATCGCAAGACTCGTTTGCTTCTGCGTTCCCACGTGGCGACTATCAACAATCCATTGGTTTCGCGAATGCTCTAAGTCAAGCTATCATTCGGGACGAGGATGCCAATGGGTATGAGACAGCGCCGTCAATTCTCAGCGCAGACATCCCTGCATCTCGGCTCCTTGAGGATGAAACACTGGAAATCACTGGACCCCCGTGGGTCAAGGAGGGAAGGGTTATTCACAAGCATCACTTGGATGGAGTGGACAAGAAGGCAAAGGACAGGCAGTGGACCGAAGTATTTGCCGTGGTGCAGAAGGGCCAGATGAGTCTCTTCTCCTTCAACTCGAGTAAGTCTCTACGGCAGAAGGCTCGTCCCAAAGCGCCCCAGGAGGCACCAGTAGGAGGTGGCAACTGGCAAGACAATGCCACAAATGTTGGTACATTCAACTTGCGACAAACCCTGGCGTCTGCGCTGCCATCTCCTGGGTATTCTCGAACACGACCACATGTATGGGCCCTGAGTCTCCCGACTGGCGCAGTTCATCTATTCCAGGTGGGAACGCCTGAAATTATCAAGGAGTTTGTCACCACTGCCAACTACTGGAGCGCACGCTTGAGCACGCATCCTTTGATAGGTGGTGTGAGCAATATGGAGTATGGATGGAGTGAGAACATTGTCAACAACGCACTTGTCAATGCGATCAACGATTCGACTGGGCCACCAACAAGGCGAGCTTCTAACATGAGCAACGGTGCCATCACTGGGACAGGCAGGAAGGGTAGCATTAGCAGCTTCCGCTCAGCCAGCATCGATCAAGCTGCTGCTGCGTTTACCAATGCTAGCGGGCGGGGTGGCAAGCTGCCCGGTGATCGTGTTAACATCGCAGACTGGACGCCGCCAGCACAAAGCCTACGTCCTAGCAACGCGAGCGAGGCGGACCAACTGGCCACCTTGGTTGCTTACGTCAAAAACATTGAAGACAGTTTGCAAGAGCATAACCAACTACGCAGCCCAATGCTACTGGCGTTTACACCCCGGGGTCACAATGCTATCAAGGCTATGGCGAACTGGGAGAAGAAGAGTGCATACCTGCTTCGCGAAATTGTCAAGTTCAGGACGTACGTGGATTGCCTGCAGCAAGCTGAGACTCGTAAGCAGGAGATTTACACGGAAAGAGATCTGGCGCACCGCGCTGCCAGAGGAGAACTGATAGACGCCGATGAAATGGACCTCAGTGGCGATGAGGCAGATACAACGATACGGCCTTGAGGATTTTCAAAACTAATATCAATTCGGCAAAGAAACAAAAAGAACATAGAGAGGACGCTCCCGGTGTTACTAGACACTCTGGCTTAAAGCACTGCATCCAGAATTTCTCCTCTTCCGCCTTCCCTATGTCTCTTACTTACGTCACCCCCTTTCCCCCCCCTGATACCCGAACTTTTGAGGACTTTCCTACTTTTCTCTCATTGCTTCTCTCGCTTCCCCCTTTCGACTTCGAACGGGGGGGGGCTGTACTTACGTTGGGGACATGTATAATACGAGAATTGCGACACGAGCACGCGACGAAACTGAGCGATTGTACACGAAACGCAAAAAAAGCTTATGAGTCATTTCTCTTCAGCACTCTTGTTCTATAGAGGCACTACCTAATACTGGCGTCTTTCCGAAAGAATTTGTCATTGTAATAATAATGTCCATAATACTATTCACTCATGGCTGGTTTCAATTTTCATTAAGAGGAAAGCTTAAAATAAAAGACTATGAACCTATTTAGATTGATACAAAATGTGACTGAGTGTGCGACGTGACACCTCGTGGTTTGTGATAATTATGAGTATCTGCGAGCCAAGTGACTGAGGATAGCCGACATTGGGTTTTACCATAGTACTAAAACAAAAAGACCAACAAATCGCAATATTTTTAATATATGATAACTTCTTCTTCTGCTATCATGGCGGTTATTAAATATATGAGCGCTGCTCCTGTCTATCTAGAACTCAATCTAAGCCTGCCCTCCAAGATAGAGCGACAGGATGGGTAACAATCTAAATCTAATACTGTAGGCATCTCACGCTATCTAATGCTCCGTCCGGGTCTATATGCACAATCTGTCTATTTCAAGTCAATTTGGTTTCATTCTGGCCTTGCGGCCGCTTTCCGTTCTTTGCTGTCTTTCCTACTCAGATCTGGCGCTTTTCGTCTTCTTGCTCCTGAGTTTCATCATGAGAAACACCAGAGCATAAGAAGAGATAGAGAACAAGGCTGTGATACCAGTCTATAGAAGGATGTGTATCAGTCAAAGTACTCCTCTTTCTTCAATTTGCCAGAGTCAGCATTAGGGTCGCACTTACATCTCTCCATGGGTAATACGCCTCATTAATATTGAAGGTCTTTGCATACTCGGCACCAGTTGAGTACGGACAGTAACTGCAAGACCCATTTGCAGACGGATCAGACACATAACCGGCATTGCTGCTAAGGAAACTGGCCATGTACTGCCCGCAGATCTGTCCATCCGGGATCGCAAAGGTTGTGAATTCCTCAGGGAGGCAGTTGACCTTGACATCCCAGACAACAGTGCCAAAAAGGCCGCCAACGAGATAATGAAATGGATCCAGCCACTAAGATAGATGTTAGTTACTTCTTGGGTAGAAACTAGAACATGACAATGAAGAGAGGAGCCTTACGTAGAGCCAAGACTTCCAAAACACTGGCATTGACTCATAAGGGGCGACAACGCCGCAAAATGATATCATACCGGCACCAATGAGTAATGGATTCATGATGGCAGCAAAGTACTCGTTTGGTGCGTAGGCTGCGATGGCTTGACCGATGGATGTGTACAAGAACTCGTAAACTAATTCGAAAGAGAGTCAGTTTTTGCTATCGGTCTTCTTCGTTCCCCTTCTCCCTGCTTCGAAGGGTCGAGGTCACTGGGCATGGCTTACAGATCATTTGCAGATAAATGTGGCCCGAGATACGGGCATCAACAGGGAAACCGGCTGTGAAGTACCAACATGCGAAATATAATGTGGCACAAATGATGAGATACGGTATTTCGGATACAACCTGTGCCCCAATAAAGGCCGACCAGTGGTATGTTTTGGACTGGTAAAGTTTTAATACATTCCCTCCTTTAATTATGGTGGTTAATCTTACCTTCTTCTCACGTGTCTCAAAGAGATCGCGGTTATGGAGGAAGAATGGTTGCATGCCTGGATTGACACATTGAGTTAGTGAATCGTCTGATTAACGATGAACGTATAGTGCCAGACGAACCGGCAATGCATGCAGGGGCCACAAATATAAAGTTAAATACTGCGAAGAGCCTGAGCTGAAGAGAGAAGGATCCGTCATCGATCATCCAGAAGGTGAAGCCGCTGAAAAGGGCCGCGAAAATATGGAGAGCCATCTTGTTCCAAATGTAATCCTAAGGTGATGATGAGCATATCGGGCTTCCTAGCTTCAGGGGTTGATTCTTACAGGTGAGCGCCAAAGCTGGATCATCTGACGGTGCAAAACAGTCTTGAACTGGAAGAACTTGGAAGTGGCAAAGCTGGCGTTGTCTTCTGGCAGGGATGCTGTTGCGGCGAGAGCCTTGCTGTTCAAGCCTTCCAAGGTTTCGAGAGCTCTAGTTCTCTCTGGAGACTTACTCCAAACGTCGACCCAATCAATAGGAACTGCCGTGTTCCCCTGGATAGACTCAACAATGTGTTCTGCTGGGTTGACACCTTCATCGCAAGGAGCTCCGTTCCGGGCGAAATAATCAAGGAGGGTTTTGGAATCGGTTCCAGCTGTAACTTTTTTAGCATACAAGAGTAAGATAGCTGCGGAAAATAGGAGGAAGTCTTACTTTCACCAAAGTATGTCATTCGCCCTCCCTTGGCCAACAACAAGACCGAGTCAAAGGCCTCAAACAGTACCGCAGAGGGTTGGTGAATAGTGCACAATACTGCCTGACCACCATCCACCAACTTGCGCAAAAATCGGATAATGTTATACGCGGATTGGCCATCAAGTCCAGATGTTGGCTCATCCAAGAACAGGAGGGAGGGCTTTGCAACGAGCTCGACACCAAGCGTAACTCGCTTCCTCTGTTCGATTCCTAGCCCAGCGCCCGGGACTAACAGGGATGTCAGTTGAATATCTTGGAAAGGGTGACTGCATCTGCTGAACTAACCTCCTATGATGGCATCGCAAATGTCTTCGAGCTCGAGAAGTTCAATAATGCGATTCACATAGTCAATCTTCTCGGCATAAGGCACGTGCTGTGGTTGTCGTAGGACCGCGGAGAAGATGAGGGCTTCCTTCACCGTAGCTGTGGCCTCGTGGACATCCATCTGTTCACAATATCCGGTCATTCTCTGGAAAGAGATGTTCTGCGGTTTTCCGTCAATCAAGATGGAGCCAAATATATCTCCTGAGTCCTTTCGTTGCGCTAGAACATCCAATAACCTAGTGGTTATCAGTACCAGGTAATCTGAACAGGAGACGGTGGCCTACTCACGTTGTTTTACCTGCACCTGAAGCTCCCATCAAAGCCACGAGATTCCCTGGCTTGACATACCCAAACGTCTTGTTCAACAGCTGCTTCTGGGCCCCTTGGTACTTGACAAAGTAGTCAAGATCCTTCCAAGTGAAAATGGACTGACGATTTGATTGGGCCAGAACCGCTGATGAATCGGGAGATCCATTTGGCCCTTTCTCTTCATCCAGCTGAGCCTTCTTTGCACGGAAGGATCGCTTAAAGAGCAAGACAGATGATCCTTTGTGGCTATTTTTGAACTCAAAGGCCACCGCAGTGACGGCGATGAAAAATATCCAGAATCCCACGATAACACCAAAGCCTCTCCAAATATGGCCGACGGAGTAGCTGTACTGCTGTGCAAGATGATCAATGCCGTTCACAGTCGAGCCGTTGCTCCCCGGAACAGTGCACCCTCTGTATTGGGAGCTGCCGGTGTCGTATCCTTCTCCGAATGGGACATACTGCGGTGCCACACATTCAAGATCGAGCCCATCAAACTCATTGGCTACCAGTGCCTCAAAGGCATATGCGCCTGGGTTAAGATAGAATATCCATCGGAACCATGGACGCATCTTTTGAAAGGGGATCAGATAACCTTCTCGGTGTTAGTCACACATCTGTTCTCCATAATACACAGGTGATGATTTAACGACGTACCTCCATAGACAAAGAAGATGGTAGAAATCAGGCCGGAGATGAAACTAGCCGTGCCGAAATGATCAAAGATGGCGCCGATAGCCCGGAACATCTGACCAAAGCACAGCGTATTCGCAACTACAACAATCCAGAAAGTGAAGAACTTGCCCGCATTTTGTTGCATTCCGCCCATGAAATAGAGAATCAGCGAGAAACATGTCACCTGTATAAGGACGATAGGTATATCCATGATTGCGTTAGCAATGCAGAAAGCCGTCGGTCTGTAGTAGCCGAATCTTTTGTGTCGAAGCAGAATAGGACGCCCGGCGAAAGAAGCCGTCGTCTCGGCCAAACCTTCTAAAAGGAAATACAGAACAGGGAAGAACAGGAGGCCAGGTCGGCGGAAGACCGATTCGCTGGTATCAGGCAGGTTATAGAAAAGGCTGCCAGCCACCAGGGCCTGTATGGTAGCCGATACAATTTTGATTGCAAACGAAAGCTTATCTCCGGTCATAATTTGATATTGCCTACAAGTAAGGAGCCAGTCAGAACTCATTCGAAGTGTGGGTGAATAAAATGGAGTATTAACTTACCGAATTGTTGCGTTAACGATCTGCTCCTTCATTCCAGCAGTGTAGACTCCTCGGGGGCCAACCATAAACTTCCTCTGCCTTTTCTCTCTCAACACAGCAGCCTCAAGGTCCTCAGCTTCACTCTCAAGGGCACTTGGAGGCTGAGAGGTCTCGCGCATGTGTCGGCACAGCTCGCTCTGTTGGTAAGACGCCTCAAAATCCTCAGGAGTATCTGGTACCTGGCTTTCGAAGCCCGCCGCAATGGCACGCTCCGTCTTGACAGTGACAGATGTCAGAAAGTCAGCAATGTTTGCGCCTTTGGGACAGACAAACCCCAGGTTCTCAAAATACGCCCTGGCGGAAACACGAGGCCCGTAGTAAATCACACGCCCACTTGCAAGCACCAGAACTTTGTCGAACTGGTCGAAAATCCCATTTCCGGCCTGGTAGGTCGTCAAGACGATGGTCTTGTCAAACTCATCGGCCTGTTGGCGCAAGCTTCGGGCAAATTCAAGGGCACCCTTGGAATCAAGTCCTCGAGTCGGTTGATCCCAAAATTGCACGGGAGCCTAGATATTTGAAATTAGTTTTATCTTAGGATAGGCCAAGATTCCTTTGGAACTTGAAGACCAACCTGACTAGCCATCATCTCGGCAAGGGAAACGCGCTTTCTTTCGCCTCCAGACACACCTCGGATGAACTCATTCCCAACTCGGGTTTTCCGGGTATGGTCAATGCCCAACGATCCTAGGATATTATCTCGCATATGCTGAACAAAGCTGTGTTTCTTTTCCAAGTCCTCTGGCCTCTTCCGGGGGACTTTGTTTCTCAGAGCAAACTTCAACGTTTGGTTGACGGTCAACGTGGGGAAATGAATATCATCTACCAGGTTCTTTAGTCTATTATATCTATCAATGATTTCTAGGGGGAACCAACCTTCAGTGTTTAAGACGATTTGTTGACGGAATTTTCGAGCCTCCTTGTGATTCATGCTCCCGTAGTGCATCTCACCTGTCACCTCAGGGAAAGATCCTCGATCATTTGAGAGAACACGAAGAAGAGATGTACATCCAGACCCAGGGCGCCCTAATACAAGAAGCTATCATGGCTTAGTAGCTGGTCAAGTAGTTAATTGAATAGGCCTGGGTACATACCATTTCTCCTGGACGAACTTGGCCAGTGACATTGTTCAGAATAGCCTGGCATAAGGTATTAGTAATAAAATCAAAACGCATGGCAGATAAACTTACTCTCTGTGGTGTTTTCCTCGTGAAAAATGACTTGAGTTGATTAGGATCGATTCTTGACCAAAGAGTTTCTCCCAAGGCTTCGCTGGAGGCTGTCACTCGGACAGTCAAGTCCTTGAACGAAAGGGTTAGCCGTTTTGGGACGAAATCCCGGCTTTTGACCTCCTCGAGAGCATTCTCCTGGTTTTCAGTATCGCTTGAGGCGGAAGACGATGTAGCCGTTGTACTCTCCTGACTGGTTGCTGGCACTTCGTTCACGGCCGGGGAACCACCCTCCTCAGCTCGTGGTATCCCCATTTTTACGTGCACCGAGATCTAGTGATCTGGAGACTCTAGAGAATGCCTCTACAAGATTGGCCTTGAAGCTTTACTGGTGCTCGGTTCTTTTTCTTCTACGCTTACAATTGGACTCTTCCCATATATATTATATCAAGACCTTCAATGAAGGCGGCAATCCGGTACAACTCCTCTATATCCGTTACTCCGTATTTCCAGCAGTGGCGGGCGAACTTACTCAAAGCAGTGGCACTTGCTCCTAGCATATTACAAAAAAATTACCACTTGCGGGAATCCGATACAAATGAAAACGCTGCTAAACCGTTTCATGCGGTACTGCCGGGGTAGGCAAGACAGCGCGGATGGACGGTTTTGTGTGGTACATGTCCAACGAATCCCAAACTCCTCAAAATGACTGCTCCACGTTGAGTCGGATATAGGCAAGATAGGCGATTATTTCCATTATTTCAAGTCCCAGCCAGGATTCGTGTCGATTGATAGGAAGGCATCCATATCCATAGTGCCAAAGTCGAAATTAAGACCCAGGTCGGCAGCTGTGAAGTCGGAGAAGCCTCCTGGGAATGCGTCATTCGGACCTAACGGAGCAAAGTCTGAGGATAGCGGCATCGAAGGATAGGCAAATGCCGTGGTGGCATTGGTCATCGGTGTCGTTGGGTCCGGCACAATCGACGGCGAGTTCTGCCCCCACAGACCAAGTCCTATATCCGGGCCAGCCTCGCTGGCTATCTCAAAGTCAGGGACCACGCACCGTACCATGCGGACAATAGCGGCGATCGTAGTAGGGGTCTGCGTGTTATTTCCGGGAATGTTAGGAAGCAACGCCTGAAGGCATCTCAACCCAGTGCGGATACACCTTAGATCTCGGTTAGATCCATAGGGTTCTTGAAGTAGGTCCAGTGCCAATACGTAGCAAGCACCCTCAACGAAATAGTTTTGATACTTGACACCCTGTGGCATGGGGGTCAGAGAGTGAGTCTTCTTGGCCTCGCCGGGGAACAAGGGAAGCTTACCTTGCAAAGCTCATTGTTATGCAAGGCATTTGCCATATTATTAATTGTGCTTTTAGCGGTGTCCAGGCAGATCTGGCATGCCTTGTCAAACCAGGGTGGTGGGGCCGCAGGTCGCTTCTCGGCAGATCTGGGAGTTCCGGGAGATTTCCCCTGTCTTCTCAACTTGCCCCGCAAGATGAGGAAAGGCCGAAACGTGAGGAGTAGTGTTTGATGGTATGCTGTACACGTGAGCATCACCGGTGAGCAATCAAATACACATGATACAGGCGGGTTAAACTCACTAGACGAAAGTAACGTTTGACAAAATCCCTCCCCACCAGGCTTTGTATGGCCGACTAATTCGAACCCCATATCCCGGGGCTGACACTCTGCAAATCGGTGTAATTGTTCACGGATATCATTGGCCGCATTCCACATCGGCATAAGCGAATCATGCCGTGGGGTGTAAATCTGGTTCGTACATTTTGCCATGATCCGCGATAGCGTGACCATGGATTTCAGGAACTTCTGCTTCTTCGGCATGGGAACGGCGGTCCCCGGGTCGACGATCGAGTTCGGCCGACCAATCATGAAGCAAATCCAGCTGAAGCGATGCAGATTAGAATCAAGGTAAGGATGGTGTGAAGATCAGAAAGTCTTTTGACATACGTTTCCCAGAAGAACAGACTCCAGAATGTAGTTCTTTTCTGCTCCATGTCCTGCCGGGTCTCTCCACCCCTCGCAATGGCTTCCTTATGCAGTCCAATAGCTAACGCGCGACGCACAGCAGACCCAAGATGAAGAAAGGATGAGTTTGGACGGGCTCTCTCGATCTGGAGAATGGCTTGCCAAGGAAGTTAGTCAGAATACAGAATCCAGGGACTGGTATACACTTATCATCATGGTGTAAACTTGCACCATCTGGACATTAACCACCTCCTCCAGCTTCTCTGAACCTTGCCTGGACTTTTGATACAGAAACTCAGAGACAGTGTGCTGTCCCAGCATATAAGCGCCCAATGAAATACCCAGGAGGATAATGATGCATTCGGGGGAGTCGTATCCGAACACTCCTGGGGGGCGAAACATCTCGTCCAGCTTTGTGCGATGCTCTTCCTTGGACATGAAGGGCAGCGCATGCCAATAGGTATCAAGATACCTCTCCAACAAGGTCTGCGCAATGGCTGGGGAAAGCAGGATCCCGGTGAAGTCATCTGACCTCAGCAAAGGCGGGTTTGTGTCGGCCAGGTCACCAAAGAACAAGCGCCGATGGCTGAATAGATCCAGCCCGGGACCAACTTCCTCCACGCCCTGCCGCGACGGCGTGCTCGGTACCGTCCCCTCGATCTGGTGATAGATGGAATGCAGGAGAGAAAAGTTGGACGAGGGTCCATAGTACAGCTGGATCAGACAAGAAGGCGATGCCTCATGAGTCGCGGCAACGCTATGGACGTTGTAGTTGCTCTCGCCGCCGCCGCCGGGCGAAGCTTCCGACTCAAGATCATCGGCGCCATCGTCTTGATTTTGAGAGACAGGGACCGTTGAGCGCACGGGTATGGAAGCCGAAGGTTTCGCGACCGCAGCCCCATTCAGCGCATTCCGTTGACTCGCCTTCTGGCGTATGCGCGCCTTCTCCCGATAAACACAGTCGATGCCTCTGGTCTTGCAGCGCTCACAAGGGGTCTGGCCGTTGCACCTGACCTTTCGTGCACGACACTCGTGGCACGCTTTGGAGATGCGCCATTTGGATGAGTTCATAACGGTGATTCAGATCGCATAATGCTGCCAAAGGGTAAGGACAACGGCCACGAGCTTGGGCGCCAATTGCAGACGCTCTGGACGGTCCAATGTTGTAATTTCTTGGGAGCAGGTTAGGTAAGCCAGGTGAATCATCGCGTGTTTCCGGATCAGTGGAGGCGATCGAAACGAACACTAAGCAGCCAGTCAGCGCTGCAGCACGCTGGAGCACTCGCCGTTCCAGGACAGTCGCCACGCGAGGGCGACAAAAAGACTAATATGTCACCCACTAATCAGGCAATTGTGATCTCGATCGTGATTGCCTGCTCTCCTTACCTGCGCCCTACCCTGCAGAAGCACACTTTACCCAACCAAGGGGACGGAGCAGGCATTCTCAAAATAGAAATGAAAGCAACAGTGAAGAATACGCGTTAGCCAAGACATGGACGCTAAAATATCATCTCTGTCGTTACAACTTGGCCCTTTCTGCCGCCTTCCTTTTCTTCACCTCATCAAACACTGCCTGCTGATTTTTCATGCTCGTTGCCGTCATCACCTGTTCCATCGCCTCATCGCAGAACGGCACCTGGTTCCTGAAGTAATGGTTCTTCCCGTTCACCTCCACCGCCAGCCCATAATTATCCGCGTCAGTGACCCTCTTCCCAGCCGAGTCCTGCATGTTCCCGCCATTGACCAGCATCTCGACCGTCTCCGCAATCTTGGAAATGGGGGTGAAGTACTCCTCGGGGAATGATTTCCACTCGTCGGCCAGAAGAAGGTTTGTCCGCACCGTCCCGGGACATATGGCATACGCCCGGATCCCTTCTTGGTGGAACGAGTATGCTATGCTGCGCACGAAGTGCACCACGCCGGCCTTGGACGCCGAGTACACTGGTGTATATTCACTAGGGTACTGATCAGGTAAAGTCAGCGACAATAAGTTCTCGTCTACCTATCTCGTGATCATGACTTACCAGACCACCACAGCTTGCTGTCATAACGATGGAAGCACCCTGCCCCTTGTGGGGGCTCAGTCTGAAATAGTGCAAAGCCAGGTATGTGGTAGAGATTACGGCAGTGAGGTTGATGTCGAGCGTCAGCGTATTTGGAGCTGGAGGAGGCTGAGATCCTTGCGTCGTCTGCTTCTCATAGAAACTGTGTCTCTCCACAATGCCAGCATTGGCAAAAACGAAGTCAATCTGGCCCTCTGAGTCGAATACTGAATGGAATACAGAGGCAAGATTATCATATGAGGTCACATTCACATGGTGCACCTTTGCTTCGGGAATAGCCTCGAGAGCAGTCTTGGCTGCTGCTTGGTTGTAATCAAGCAAGTGAAGCTTCCACTTCCCAGTCTGAGCGAGGCGTTTCGCAGTCTCGAGGCCCATACCCGAGCAGCCCCCCGTGATAATTGCAACTTTGTTCGTCATGGTTTGTTACTGTTGAGAAGTTCTATTCTGGCAGTCACAAGCATAAAAAGTGCGAATGAAAGCGATCGTCAATTTTCAACCGTCACATTTCACACAAGATCTTTCGAACCCTGCTATTTATTAAAAAGAAGCTAAGTAAAATAGGACTATCCGGATTGCCAAGTCTCTTGCTTGATAGCATTCGGAAAACTGTATCCTGCCTGACCCGGCACACTAACTCCACGACCACCGCATTCGAACTCACTTGCGAGATGATGTAACAAAAGGAATCTTTCTTCCGTCAGCGTGTAGATATTGACCCGCTGATGGGCGTTACCCATGTAATTGTTGCTCGAGAGTCAAGGAAATGGTAGGTGCCGTGTAATTCATAAACGACGCCGCCGGATGCACTTTTCCCCACATCAAATAGCCCCCATGTAAAGACTGGATATCTGAGAACGAAACAAGGATTCTTTTATCAAGGGATATAAGTTTCTGTGAAGCCTGTGAGAATTACCAAGACAGTAGCAGCCACACGAGGAAGACCATGGCAGCGAGCCTGTGCGTGCACGGCCATGATACCGCCACTGCCTCTCCTTCAGCCTCAGCGTTGGTCCTCTCCGGGACACCATCAGTAGTCTTTGATCCCGTGTCTGTAGGCCTGACAGCTCCGCTCGAGAAGAGACTGCTGCCCCCCGAAGAGGCCGAGGGTGCCTCCACAGGCCGAGAGGTTGGGACTTGGAAGGCCGCATGGGGGATGTACATCCCGGACGAGAACCGCTTGTAGCATCCCTTGACTTTTACATCTTCCCATCCTCTGATCCCCTCGTCGACGACGTATTCCACCGGGCCATCAACCTCTAGGCACAATCCGGCGAAGTCATTGATCTCGACTTTCCTGAAGAACGAGGTGAAAGGCGCGCGCTCCCAGCTAGGTGGTCCTCCAGCCCATCGAGCGAGGCTGTTCTCTTCGCTTTCCTGGTTTGGAATCCACGTGCCGATATGAAGTTTCATGGGGGTTTGGGGCCACTTCTCAGGGGGGACGTCGCCGATATACCGGGTAAGAACGTCGCGTCCATCGATTGAAAACGCGATTTTGTACTGCGTCCATTCAATCGAATATGTATGGAACGTAGTGAAAATAGACGGGTCGGCGGGGAATGTTTGATTGTACACTTTGCCATTGGTATCACCATGAAACATGTAGCTGGCTTGTACTTGGTTGTCATACGTTCCAAGAATGTCCTAAACTCATGTGAGCTGGTATTACTGATAAGAAACATGAGAAACCCACCCATGAAATTTCGATTCCAGAGTCCGATTTTAGGACGATGCTTGAGGCAACTCCTTGACCGGAGGCAGCCAGGAGCTCAACGCTGACTTTGCCAAAGAAAACATAGTGCTGCGTAGAGAGGGATGGTGCATGGCCAGGTTCCCAAATGCCAAGCGCAGCACCCTTCCCGTTGGTGTCAAGGCTTATGAGACGCTGATCCTGGGATGACGTCTGATCCTTGGTCCAATACGTAGTTAGGTCGGCATCTTTGAAGGCACAGACGAAGTCGAAGCTGAAATTCCGAGCTAGTCCTAGGCTTGGTGAACAGTCTGGTTGAAAGTCAGTTGTGAAACTAGCCAAATACTCCCAATGAATTCCTAAAGGGTTCATACAATGAGCTCCATTTGACAGATCACAGTTTGCGAGCGGATGGGAATGGCCGAAAGCCCTTGTGCAAAAGAGGATGAGAAGTTGGGCGATGAGAAACATCGTCTCGGATGCTATTAAAAGCTGGCAGTCAAGACTGGCTGATTTGCTTGGAAAGCTATAGTGAGTTTGTGTTCGTGAAAGAAAGAAAATTAAGAGAAGCGTGCGGAGTTGAGGAAGTATGAGAGCACGAGTTGGAAACACGGGAGGCCCGCGTGTGGTTTGTGCAGTGAATCACACTCGTTCAGTCCACATCTGATTAACAGCAACTGCTGGATGGTCACACGGCCACACAGAATTTCCCCAAGGCAGGGAAGGTATCACTGAAATTTTCGAGTGCTGGAGCTAGCAAACAAATTCAAATGATCTGTGAAACAAGGCATGTGGAGTTTCCCGGTCATAGGGGTATCTTTAGTATGTAGGGAATTTGCCCTTTCTATTTGTTTCATCACTGGCAAATGACTAGATAGTCTTAGTTCAGGCCATGTTGCAAGTATACTTCCTACGGCCCATTTGGAAGTGACCACTGCATGGTTCTCTCCCAACTCCCTCCTCTCATCTAGCAAGAGTCCAGCATGCTCTCAAGGGCAGACTTCTCAGCAGCAGTGACAGTAAGGCTGTAGCTGCTCTTGACCTGGACCCAAGCTGCAGCATAGTCGCAGTGGATACCGGTCAGAGCAGGCTTCCAGCTGTCAGGGCTCTTGTCACCCTTCTGGGAGTTGGTGGTGGTAGTGACAGCCCAGAGCTGAGGGCCCTTGATATCGTTGGCGAAAGCCTGGCGCTGGGTCGTGGTCCAGCTTGAGGCGCCAGACTATTTATGAAGGCAGGTCAGTCAAGATGCACAATGGGAACGAGTTGTTCAAGGTGTTGTAGACTCACAATCCAGGCATTCTTTAAGGGGACCAGGTGGTCAATCGAAACTTGACTCGGAACGGTGTGAGTCTTGCCGTCGAATGGGCATGTCCAGCTTCCACTGGTGGGATAGCAGTCGCTACCCGTTACGACATTGTTCCCATCACGTCGTAGCACATACTCGCTGCCAGAAATCGTCAGCGACGTCACTTGACTGTAGTACAGAGGATAGGCGCAGAGATGCCGCCTCTAGAGAGTGAGACGAGAGAAAAGACATACCGAGCGGTGCATTCAGCCTCGCCAGACACAGCCTTCCAGTGAGGGAAAAGCTCGCGAGAATAGCCACCATTGTCAACTGACTGCGCAACAGCCAGCTCAGACAGGAGAGATCTGGCGGTGGCCTCGGAGGGGATGCCAGGCTAGTGAGAGATACCGTTAACTCCAACGAACGAATGAACCGGGTTTCATTTAAAGGCCGAAGCAACTTACAACACTGGCAACGGCCACAGTGGCGAGCGAGATGACGGCGGCGAGGAACTTCATTGTGGATAGACGGCGAGTCGCTGGTTGTGAAGACTGCTGAAGAGAGGGAAGAGGGAGGCAGGCCAGGAGAATCAACGAAGGCTTCAAGCGCCTTATTTATCAAATACTCCCAATCAAAGCACCCACCCACTTGCGGCCACGCGCTCATGATCCCATGCATTCCATTCACTGGCAGTGGGGGATATGACCCAAGGGACACTGCCGCAGCCACGCCATCTGGGTCAATGCCAATCAAGTGCGGGGGATGGGTATGTTGGAGAAGTCGATCTCAGATAGGCCTGCCTCATTCGACCACCCTCCCGAATCCTCGCATTCCGCAAAAGCCCATCCAACCCTGATGTACCCATTCACAAGGTAAGACGGGGTCCAAAGTCGGCCCCCGTCTTACACGCCACCACACAAATCAGGGTAAGCTTAAACGCCTGAGGAGATTGGGTCTGGCGTCACAGGAGCCAGTGACAGTCCCGGATAAGGGCACACTGCGTGCTGTTTCAGAGGAGGCAGGGGGTGCTGACATGAGCTGCGTCTTGTCCTCTGGGCGCATCGACACTGCACCTCTGAACCTGCCTGAAGGGGTAATGCCAGAGCAGGCAAAGAAGGAATTGATTGACTAGTGGAGAGGGCCGAGAATCTTAAAACGGACCACAGAATAGAGAGGGATGACAACAAAGGGTCCGCCGATCCACAAAGCCGTCCACGAATATGCCGCACTAGAGATAACCTTGTCCTTCCCTTCACGCGGCTTGAAACGAAACGCTTTCCAGAACTTTGGCCGCCTTCCTGTTTCACGTGCGTTGGCATGGAACTTTGTGTAGTCGAAGCCATAATTTCAATTGAGTAATGAGTCGACTTCGGTATCGCTAAGAGTGTCTATCGGGCCCTTCTGACTGTGTTCCCGCCCTTCCACCTCAGCTTCCCTACCCAAGCTGCCCACTTCTGCACTTCCTCCTCCTCCAGCAGCAGATCAACAGTGTAATAGTACCTTGCCAGCTCCTCGTGCTTCTTGAAGTGGTGCACGAACCTGTGGCAGGCACCGCACAGCCAGGCCACGTTCTGCAGGTCCTCTTTGCTGTGCCAGCCCCGCTTGACCACCTTGTCGTGGACGAAGCGCGGGATCAGGTGGTGGTACGACAGAGGGATCCAGGACCGCTCGCAGATTTCGCAGGCTTCGGTGCGTGAGGCCGTTGAGGCTGGTGGGGGCGCGATGCGCGAGGTGATGTAGGCGGTCAGGATGGGAATGAGGAAGACCTCCACAGTAGCAGGCAGAGGCGAGTCTAGCGTGGGGTCCGGAGAGATAAGGTTGTATGTTTGTAGCGTCTCTGAGATGGACGGGGGGAGGTTGAGGTGTGAAAGGCTGCTCGCCGTCAGAGGGAACGAGTATTCAGCCTGTAGTGCCTCTGATTCTCGCCATGTCCGGAAATCGAGGTCTCTAAGCTCGTCCGGAAGGTTTTCAAAGATCTCGGTCGCCAAGTAGTCGATGAACTCGGCAAGCTCCTCCGCGTCTTGTCTGAAGTCCCGCGAGACCGGGACAACTGCCGTCTCACTTGAGTTATTGCTACCCTTGGCTCGTCTCCGGCGCTTCCGCTCCGGGAGGCCAGCGGATTCGGCCCGGATGAGGGTGGTGGAGAGGCAGTCCCGGAAGACGGCGTGATTAATGTTGCTTTCCTCGGAATCGGACATGATTGAGTTACCGGGTTTGATTTGATTCAGTGCTAGTTTGGCTGGTGAAGACTTGCTTTGCTCTTCTGGTGGCTGTGATTGGGGTCAAGATGACTAATTCAATTCTTCCCAGTTGCTTGGTATGACTTCTTGAGTGTGTCTCTAAATTTCGCCATGTTGAAGCACTTTCATTATCTATTTAATGTATTTCATCCTCATCATCGTTTTCCGTATACTTGGAGGTGCCGATGGAAGTCTGTAGAACCAATTGAAGATTTCCCCACTGCGGCTGACAGCCAGGGCAGATAGCGCTCTCACCGAGTTGACTCATGCCGCCGTGTAAGTCACCCATGTTCCGTGCGTGTGGCCCAATTGCTGCTATGCATAATTCACAGCCTTAAGTCATTCCAGGCTGTCTACGCAACTAGTCTCGTTTCTTGCTGTACGAAACGTGGTCGCATGGGCATTCAAGGCCGGCAAATGACTGATGGATGCGATGACCGTCCGTCCTCGCGACGAGAACCGGCTGCGCTGTTCTCTTGGGATGCCACGTATATTGTTAGTGAGGTAAACTAAATGGCTCTCTCCTCGGTGAAGCCACAACGGAGCCCTGCTCGTACTCTTTGGCGCAGGCGCTCCGACATTCTTGGAGCCACTGCAGGAAATGCGTGTGAATGACATTGCGGAGTCATTGAGCCTAGTTCATCGTAGTGTTCCTCATTAAGCAGACTCAAGAGGACCTGTAACGACTGTCCACGTATGATATCAAATTCTCTCCCCGCCTCCATCATCATGGCGTAGTGAAACACCCTCGAAAGATATGGGGTGGCATTATTGGCCCAAAACAATGAGGGTCAGGATTAGTACAAGATCAAATCTGTCGCCGTACGTCCCGCTAATGTTGGATATTATCAGAGCCCAATGTACCGCAGCTCATCCAACACGCTCATTCCGAGCCTTGGCGATGGCTATTGCTGCAAGACGGCTTAATTCAGCAACAAATGCACCAAGGTTCTCTATGAATGATGTCTCGTGCAGCCTAAGTAACTGATGTGATGGCAGCCTTTGAATTAGGTCACCAGCTGTGCAGATGAGGCTGGTGTCGCTTTCTGCCTCAGCTGCCAGCGGATCTCTCAGAATATTGAAGAATAATGTGATCAGAGCAGACATGGGGTGAAAGAGAAACGCCCTTCGCACTGTGTCAGTTTCCTTGATTTTACTGGATTATCTTAGAGTGAATACTTACCAGAATGCCTCCCTTGGAAGTGAGTCGATTGCCACACTTAGATAGATAATAGTTGTCCGACTAGCCTCAACAGCCAGATCGAGACTTGACTGGAGTCCAATGATTTTAGGATCAACTCGACCATTCTTGAAACATCTACCGCTTGCGCCGTGGATTGAAGCTACCAGATGGTGGTACTCAAGATGGAGCTCGATATGCTGGACGGATCTCGCAAATTCCATGTCCGACATCCATTTCTCGTAGTGAGGTGACAATGAAACTCTCGGTTTGAAATTTCTCGGTAGCGATGAGCGCCAACTCTCAAGTTCCTCATCAAGCTCTCGGATCGATTGCAGAAGCTCGGCATTGGACTTACGCAGAGATTGAATAGAGTACAGCTCCCTGGATACCTTGGACTTGATAAGACTGAGACGGATGTCTCCAAAGAGGACTGGATATGGAACTCGAGCAAGGTGTTCGTATTCCGGAACGCCAAATCGACCTTTGACGTATTCAGGGGGCAGTGTAAGGTCACAAAACTCATCGCACAAGCTTGGCGGCTGGCCTGTTCGCAGGGCAAGATTCTTATCGAAGATGTAGCAAACCCAGAACATCTTTCGTTGCTGTTCCTCAATTCGCTCCGGGACCGTCAGGGCTCGACTTGAGGGTGGCGATGGAACGATAGTATGAGCCCCAAGAGTACAAGTCGTGCGGCAAGCCATGCCATGAAACATGACGCCTGCTTGCATATGTCCCAAGACCATGCTGTTCAGTTGCTAGGAAAAATATATGTTAACTTTAGTCACAGTGGTCGGTTCGATTGACATACCAGTGAGACAAGCGTCTGCAGTGTTGTTAAACTTGGAAAGTTGACACACCTGCCAATAAGTGACTGGGCCCAAGTCATACACTCCAATCTGTCAATGTGGGCCGCTGCTGGGATGGTCGAGAAATGAAAACTCATCAAAGAAACAAAAGCCAGAACACTAGCCCGCGAGGATAAATACTCGGAGGAATTTGGCCCGGGCTCGGGTCCATATGCGATTTCGATTGTTCTTTCAAAGAGCACTTCGTCGATAATCGGGAATACATGTCTGATACTGGACTCCATGAAGTCCCTAACAAAGGCCTGCGTTATCCAGAGGTCCGGGAATCGTTCCCGCCCATTGGGATGATCATCGGATGAGTACATGGGAGCATGAAAAGATTGTTTGAAACTTCCGGAACCTTCAATTGCGTTTTTGGTAAAGGACGGATGTTCTCCCGTCGCAGAAAAAATCCACTCTAACCCCTCGGCCGAGAAAGCTGGGATACGGTCAGGTGAGTCAATAGTTCCAAGGTAACAACCGGCAAAGTATATTTGGCCACAAGCCGATCGACCAGGCATAGGTCCTCTATTCAGTCTTGAACTTGAATCGTTGCTTGGTGTTGAAAAGGACTGATGCTCCTCGATGCCTACCGCCGGTGGCTGGGGTGGGTTACCAGCATCTGAAGCATCTGAAGGGCTTGCGGTACTCTGTCCCTCGGAAACAGATCCATTTTGGGCAATGAATTCCTCGATACGCTCAATACGCTTTGATATGTTGTCTCGGCTGCCTTTCTTCTTTGGCCTTGTCGGAAGTTAGCAACATACGTTGGTTTGTCCCCCAGCGCAACTCATGTACACAACATGGCAGGCCACCTTGTTTCACCATCCAAGAATCAGGGGGTGCGGCCTCACTTTTGACTTTCTGTCTTCTTCAGACGAGTGAAGGTGCATGGCAGACCTACACATCGGACGGTTAGATGGGTACGCCCAAGACCCAGAGTGGGTAGGCAAGCATGGAGGCAAACACACCACGGTGGGTGCACCAATTACATTTGGGCCCCGATTCGGACAGGTCACACTGTATCTATAAATGAGGTAACAACCACGTGTTAGCTTCAATATACTATTGACAAGCCAAGGGGAAAGGGGACCGATCTGATCTACGCCAAGGTTGCGGCATCGGTTTGAGATGCGACTAGAGCGATGATTCATAACCACTTACCTTTCGCTTGTGGCACCCGTCACAGGCTCGTCTTTGCTTTGCCATGATGCTGCAGATTGTCCATGCGGATCGAGAAGACTTGGATT